AGAGAAGAAAGAGAAAATAGAGCAGAAGAAATATTCAGGTAGTAATAGCCAAGAATTTTCCAAAATTAATGACAGACAACAAATCACAGATTCCCGAAGCTCATCGAACACCAAGCTGCATAAATGTCAGATGATCTAAACTTAGACATATTGAAACTACCTTTGCAAAAATTAATATGACAGTGAGAGAAACCAAAATTAACTGACTCCATTTTGCTTCTAACCTCACAAGCCGTCCTTGCTCATTTCTGGGTGTATGCCAAGCTAGTTTATAGTTTAACTTTAAAACAAAGATTATAACAATCCCTTCCCAAAAGTTACCCCCTCCTTGCTCTGTGATCAAAACCACTTTGGTAAAACTAACAAATTGGCTACAAGATTAGAATTATGGTTCAGGGGTCATGTAGCTGGAGGTCACAAGATTCGTAACCACCCCAATTGCTCCTACAGATAACTTCACTATTGTAAAACCTAAGACTGATGTTTGAGGCATTTTTCAGACCTTGCAATCTAATGGACCTGCTAGTACCACAGGAATGGTAACCAGGTACTGTGACCCCCACCCAGGAAGTGACACAGCACAAGAACACAACTTCAACGCCCTGCAATTTCATCCTCAACCCAAGCAATTGGCATTTCCCCGTTCCCCAGCCCTCTGTCTGCCAAACTACCCTTTAAAAAAGCCTAGTCTCTGAATTCTTGGGGAGATGGATTCGAGAAGCATCTCCCACTTGGCGGGCCATGCGATTATTAAGTTCTTTCTCTGCTGCAATTCCTATTGGTCTCGGTGTGTGGCTTTTCTGGGCAGTGGACAAGAAGAATCTAGTTTGGCAATTACAATTTTATATTCAAACTGCAGAATACCAAAGACAGAAAAAAATATTTTAAAAATCCAGGGGATGGGGGGAAAAATGCTTACCTGTGAAAAAAACAAGGATAAAATTACATCAGATTTCTCATTAAAAACCATGCAAGCAAAGAAAGTGGAAATAAAGTGATGAAAGAAAAAAAAAGCCTATGTAGATTTCTATATCCTGTAAAATTAACCTTCAAGTAAAGGAGAAATAAAGATTTTCTCAAACAGAAACTGAGGGGAATTCATTGCCAGATAGCCTACTCCGTGTGAAATGTTAAAAGAATTTCTTCGTGCAAAGGGAAAATGATATGGGCCAGAAACTCAGACTTACATAGAGAAAGAAAGAGCATCAGAGAAGAAATAAATGCAGATATAATAAAAGGTTTTCATTTTTCCTACTCCACCTTGACCTAAAATGTAGCTGTTTGTTCAAACTAATAGTATTAACAACGTAATGATTGATTATGGGACCTAAATAAGTGAAATGACTGGAAGCCCTCCTTGTTCTTTTTAACACTGCCAGTCATTTCACAATGTTAAAAAGAACAAGAGGGCAGAATTTGTGACATTCAGCTGCATGATGTATTCTCTACTCATGAAGTGATATTGTATAATTTAAAATGAACATAATTAGCTGTAAATATATATTACAAACTTCAAGGAAACCACTAAAAATGTTTTAAAAGAAGTATAATTGATATGCTAAGAAAAAGAGAAAATAGAATCACAAAATGCTCAATAAAACAATAAAAGAAAAGGCAGGAAAAAAGGAAGGAAAAAATAAAAACAGTAGGTACAATGAAACATTTACAAGTGTGGTAGATATCAATCTAACTACATTAATAATCACTTTAATATGAATTGTCTAAAAACACCAATTAAAAGACAAGAGATCAACAGAGTACATAAAAAACATAAAACACCCAACCATACATTGTCTGTAAGAAAGCCATTTTAAATATAAAAATACAGATAGATTAAACATAAAGGGATGGAGCAAGATATACCGTGCCAACACTAATCATAGAAAAGTGATAGTAGCTATATCAATTTCAGACAAAGCAGCTTCAGAACAAGGAAAATTGCCAGGGATTAAAGAGGGGTATCATATAATGATAAAAGAGTCAATTCTCCAAGAAGGTGTGCAATCCTTAATGTGCATGTAGCTAACAAACTAATGGCAAAATACATGAGACAAAAAAGGATATAATTATAAAGAGAAATAGATAAATTCACTAATATTGTTGAAGACTTCAACACTTCCTTTTTATTAATTGATATATCACACAGGCAGAAAATCAGTACAGATATAGTTGACCTGAACAGCAATAGCCATCAACTTGATCTAACTGACATTTATATGATACTCCATTTAACAACAGCAGAATGCATGTACTTTTTAAGCTCACATAGAATATTTGCCAAGATGTACCACATTTTGGGCCATAAAACATACTTTAACAAATTTAAAAGAATAGAAATCATAAAAGTTTGTTCTCAGACCATAAATTAGAAATCATAACAGAAAAATAGCTGGAAAATTCCAAAATATTTCCAGATTAACCAACATAGTTCTAGGGTCAAAGAAGAAGTCTCAAAAGAAATTTTAAAATATTTTGAACTAAATGAAAAGGAAAATAACATTAAAATGAATGAGATGCAACAAAAGGAGCACTTAGAAGGAAATGCATAGTATTAAATGCATATAATAGAAAAGAAGAGGCTGGGCTTGATGGCTCATGCCTATAGTCCCAGCACTTTGGAAGGCCAAAGTGGGCGGATCATGAGGTCAAAAAATTGAGACCATCCTGGCCAAGATGGTGAAAACTCATCTCTACTAAAAATGCAACAACAACAACAAAAATTAGCTGAGTGTGGTGGTGGGTGCCTGTAATCCCAGCTACTCGGGAGGCTGAGGCAGGAGAATCGCTTGAACTTGGGAGGCAGAGGTTGCAGTGAGCCGAGATCGTGCCACTGCACTTCAGCATGGTGACAAAGTGAGACTCCATTTCAAAAAAAAAAAAAGAAAAAAGAAAAGAAGAAATATCTAAATCAATAAGCTTTCATCTGAGGAAACCAGAGAAATAAAAGAGCAATTTAAGCCTCTGATGCGAGCAGAAAATAAATAATAAACATTAAAGTGAAAATTAATGAAATTGAAAGAGGAAAACATTAGAGAAACTCAATGAAACCAAAAGCTGATTCTTTGAAACAACTGATAAAATTAATAAACCTCTAGCCAGGCTAACAGAGAAAAAAATAGAGAAGACAGAAATTATCAGAATGAAAGATGGGTCATCACTGTGAATTCCATCAACAATGAAAAGGTAATAAAGGGAAACTATGGACTCTACACCTACAAATTTGGTAACATGAAATGAACAAATTCTTTAAAAGACAAAATAACCAAACTTACACAAGAGATAGATTGTCTGAATAGGCCTATATCTATTAAAGAAATTTGAATCAATAATTAATAGCCCTCCAGAAAGGAAAGTCCTAGACCCAGATGGTATTACTAGCTAATCCTACCAGACACTTAGGGAAGAAATGACATCATTCTCCTCAATTTCTTCCAAAAATAAAAGCAGAGGCAACACTTCTTAACTCATTCTCTGAGGTCAGCATTACTCCATTGTCACCTCTCAGTGCTATATTTTTCCTGCTTGGTGACCATAGGCTGGCTGGACTTTGAGTTCCACTGGCTCATCTTCCCCTCGCTAGAGAGCAAGTGAAAGACGACTGGGATGCCTGCCTGGGAGTGGTGGCACTGAGCACTGAAAACCAGCCTGGTGCCACCACTGCTTTTGGTGGCAGCAAAAACTGTTGCCTTCTTGGGGCTGTACCAGTGCCAGAAGTAGCCTTGGCACAGAGTCCCAATTAGACAAGTTTCCATACACTTTTACATTCCACACATTGTTTTCATTTTTATTAAGAATGTCAAGTCATCCCTTGGTATCTGGGGGGAATGGGTTCCAGGACCCTCTATGGATACCAAAATCCATGGATGCTCAAGTCCCTGATATAAAAGGTGTAGTATTGGCATGGAATCTATGCACATACTCCTGTATATTTTAAATCATCTCTAGATTACTTAAAATACCTAATACAATGTAAATGCCAAATAGTTACACTGTATATTTTAGATTTTTATGTTACTTTTTATTGTTGTTATTAATGTTTTTAATTTTTAAAAAATATTTTGCTTTCATGGTTGGTTAGATTCATGGATACAGAATCCACAGATAGGAAAGAATGGCTGTATTAACATACTTGTTTTTTTTATTTTTATTTTTTTCAGACAGAGTTTTGTTTTTGTTGCCCAGGCTGGAGTGCAGTGGCGCAATCTCGGCTCACCGCAACTTTTGCCTCCCTGGTTCAAGCGATTGTCCTGCCTCAGCCTCCCGAGTAGCTGGGATTACAGGCATGTGCCACCATGCCTGGCTAATTTTGTATTTTTAGTGTTCTCCATGTTGGTCAGGCTGGTCTTGTCTTATGTTTTTTAATGATTATTTCCAGGCTTCTCTGACCAGATATGTAAAACATACCAGAACAGAAAAATAAAAATAGCAGAAGCAGCACTCCCTCTCTACCTGCTGGTATTTTTTCTTGGGTCTCATCTGCTTTTACTTCCTCCTACCAAGTATGCGGAGATCCTGAACTGATTCTAGGGCTAAGAGCCACATAAATGCACTCAGAGCAGAACTGGTCCCAGCTACACAGCCTGGAATGTGTGACAACAGAGAGGTATTTGGATTTTAATTCTTCTAAAAAGATCTTTTTTAGACAGAGTTGTCTTTTGGGGTAGGGATAAAGGAGGCCTGGGGGAGAGGAGTGGGTTCAGAGATCACGGGTAATCATCCAATCCTACAGCAAAGCCTCAGATGGCGCATGATGTTCAAACAGCTCCAGTCCAGCCATTCACAGATGTAAGGAAATAGGAAGACCATGTGAGTCAGAGCACCCTTGAGTTTCTCCAACAGCCAATCCCTGCAATTTAAAAAATCTGATTGCCTTGTTATTTATTTGTAACCTCATTCTATTGTATAGCTGTAGAGTGAAGCTGGGTAGACATTAAGTAACAAGCGTGAATGGGAACACTACCAGAGCTGAAGGACAGACAGGAAAGGAGATGATGACCCACCTGAAGTTGAGATCTCTGCCTCCACTTGCCATCTGCCCCTGCTGGTCCCGCTGGGCCATGAGCTCAGCCTAGGATCACACCTGATTTGATTTTCACTGCCGCTGTCCCTTCCTGCAGCTCTGAGGTGAAACTGCCAGCTGCCCCTTGTGGCTGGTCCAAAGAAGAGAAGAAAAGTGAAACTGTCTAACCACCTGACCTGGGTGCGCCAGCTCTACAGTCCTCTCTCCACCCAATCACTGTTAGGTCTTGCAGTCAAGGGAGGAGGAGCGGAGCCAGCCCCATGAAGCCACGGAAGATGGGGTCGTTTGTTCCTGCCAAGGAAAGCGGGTGAAAAAGTCGTTCCACTCAAGCAGATCAAAGTTGTTTCGAGATAAGGTGGCATCATGAGGAGGAAGCAAACTCCACGTTTGTCCGTACCCCTTGCAGAGGTGGCTGAGAGGGACAAGTGAAGACCAGGTGTTTCAAATCTTCAGTCAGGCTCTAGGGCTAGCCATGCACCTTGGTGAGCCTGGGCTGGATGAGTTAGGCCCAGTATTTGGAGATGGCCCTAGAGAGAACTGAAATACCATGCATTATAAAGTGAGGGAGATGTCCTTAGCACTCTTTGAAAGCAGACAGAGGTAAGAGACAGCTCTCTCAACTCCTCCAGCCAAAGGCAAGTGCTGAGGTTGGGCAAGAGAAGTGCAACTCTAAGTTTTCTCAAATAAATGGGCACTTTACAACTGCAGCCAGGGGTAATGGGGAAAAAAATGAGCTTCCACCATCTCACTGAAATCTTGAGGAAAGTGACAGCCTTCTCATTGGACAGGGAAAGGATGTGGAGCTGAGATTATCTAGACCTTCAATGACAATATGATACTGCAGGATAGCTGTATGACATTTATGTTTGTACACAATTTCTCATTTATACCCAGCCCTCATTCTGTGAAGGATGTTAAATAATTTACAAAAACACACTGTATCAGCATAAAGTCAGGTGATAAACAAATGGGAGCAAAGCACAAATATAATAAATAAAACCTCAGGACTTGAAATCCAGGCAGAATGATGGGTCAAAGACAGAGGGCTAATGGGAGCCAGGGTGTGGGTAGAACCCAGGGCCAGTGACAGAGCAGTGGTGAAGATTGAAAAGCCAGAGGCAAAGTAGTATTTTTCCAAAACATCTGCCCAAGAATCCTACCTTTTCTGGCTCATTACACATATGCAAGGAAATTTGTATACATAAGTTTGCAAATATAGAGGACAAGAAATTTCTACCCCCCTCCCCACTTGGGCTTGCTTTCTACCAAAGGAACAAACACCAATCTGGTGGGGACAGACTCCAGAACACTGATGAGGACACCTTTTCCAGCAGGCAGGCAGGGTCACTGTGACTACCAGATCTTGCATATGTCTGGTTCTCAGTCTCTCTCTCTCTCTCTCTCGCTCTTCCTCCCTCCCTCTCTAGAACAAGAAAGGCTAGTAAGCTGGGCCTCTGTTGAACACCGCTGTCCCATGGGGCTCCGACAAGGCCTGGCACAGATAATACCCGCTGCTCCAGCACCCACCTCTCTCTTCTCTCTGCCTGTAGGCAGCAGGCAGGCCCAGGACACCAGTGAACTGGGCATTTTTGAAAATCTGCCACCTTCTTTTGCTTATAAGCACAAGGCCATTGGTGTTCCTCAGCTGACTGGTGGTAAGATTGGGACTTCAGAGATACTGCTGCTACTAGAAAGCCCTGCTCTGCAACATCATGCATTAACTCACGTAAGGACAGCCTGGAATTTCTGTTTTATTTCCCATTTGTCTTGTTTTTCCCTGTGCTCACTACAGAACCTCTCCTGGGTAAGGGACGCCTGGGCCAGGCACGTGTAGGACCATCAGACCATCCCTGGTTCTCCATGTCTTCTTTTACTGCCATGTGACCTGTGGGACCAGAAGTCTGCAGCCTGCTTCCTGTCTCTCTTCCCCCATCCAGATTTAGGGCAAGTAGGTGATACTCCCCAAAGGTAAATGAATGCTTTCATTCTACCTAAAAGATTTCTCTTTATTTTGCTAAGTATGCTAGAACCTGACACCTGGAATTGGGGAAATGAATTGCAGAGTTGTAACCACAATCCGGTGCCGTAATTTAATTTGCCAACTCACCCCTGCTTGCTCATGACTCCCAGCATTCCTGACTCTGAATGCTGATGGGGATGTTCACTGCTTTTATGTCCAATTATGTCAGATAACCAATCCCAGATTTATCATTTTTCCTTGAATATCTCTTGCCTGTAATTCAACCTCTGCTACCCAATTTTTTTATCAGTCAGGATTTGGGAGTAAAAGTAATCCAAACCAGCTCTGGCTAAATCAGGCAGAAAGTCAATTTCTTAGAACTACATTGGGTAGCTCACAGAATGTATGGGAAAGCCAGAGGACTAGGCTAAGAAAATAGGCAGTCCAGGAAGGTTATATTAACTCACTTACCCTTTGTCATAATATAGTTGAACGGTATCTGGATCACCTGGACATCCCATAGACTGTCAGACTGATTGATTACATTAGGTGACATCATGCTGATCAGACAGAATGAGCAAGATCTTGGTGGCCAGCACACCTGCTGAAGAAGAATAAATTACTGACCCACAACAAGGATGAATCTCAAAAGCGTGATGTGAGGGAAAAAAACCCATACACCAAAAAGTGCATTCCATCTGCTTTCATTGATAAATAACAAACTTTAATATAGACAGAACTAATCTTAGTGACAGAAAACAGATCAGTGGTTACCTGATGTTGGCCTTAAGAAGGGAATTATCTGCAAAGGGCACAGGAACTTTCTCGGGTGACAGAAATGGTCTATATCTTTTTTTTTTTTTTTTTTTTGGAGACAGGGTCTCACTCTGTCACCTGTCACCGGAGACTTGACCTCCCAGGCTCAAGCAATTCTCCACCTCTGCCTCCCTGGTAGCAGGGACTACAGGTGTGTGCTGCCATACCCAATAAATTTTTAAAAATTTAGTTTTGTAGCGATGAGGTCTTGCTATGTTGTCCAGGCTGGTCTCAAACACCTGGGCATAAGTGATCCTCCTGCCTCAACCTCCCAAGATGCTGGGATTATAGGCGCAAGTGACTCTTTCGGCCTATAAACGGTCTATATCTTGACTGGTGCAGTAATTACATTTGGTAAAATGTACATTACAATGAATAAATGTTATACCTCAACAAAATGGAGCTAAAAAAGAATTATATAGTATAATTTTAATGGATCCTCAGTACATAATCACTAGCATGTGAATTAACAGTTGAGGTTTTCCCATTATTACCATGTTGGCAAGGCCGGTCTTGAATTCCTGGCCTCAAGTGCTCTGCCTGCCTCAAGTCTCCCAAAGTGCTAGCTAAGCTACAGGCATGAGCCACTGTGCCTGGTCAATAGTTTAGAGGACTTTTCATAGGCCCCACAAGCCAATGTACATTAGGGATCTTTAAAAGGGGCATGAGAAGGGGTGTCCCTGCCAGCAAGCCAGCCAGCCAGCCCTTGAGTTGCTGCTCTGGAGTCAGCAGGCCCCAGCTTTGCCTCGGACTCCTGGCTCCCACCTACCTGCTGCTCTCAGCCACTTTTCTGCCTGAAGGTCTGCCTGCCTCTGCACAATTCCAGTTCATGTGCAGGTTCCCTTTCATTTCAATTTCTTCATGTAATAATCTTATCCTGACAAATTCTAGGCATTTCTGGCACATTCCCTTTTTTGTGTGTGTTGTTGAAGTTTGATAATTTCCAGCAAATTTATTCAGTTATGTAAACATCACCACAGTCCAATTTGAGAACGTTTTCATCACCCTAAAATGTACAGAATAAGGATAAGTCATGGGAAAATCGATGCGGGTAGGGAAGCAGTTGGACCGCGGGTTGCCAGTTCCCATTGCTGCTGGGGCTGGACCCCTATGCCCCCTCCTCCCATACCCCTCTCTCTGGGCCAGTCCCAACTGGCAACATGCCCTCCCCCAATCCCCAATTGCTAAGACACCCTGGGAGCCTCACAAGCGCCCCTGAGAAGGTGAAGAGAGGCTGCAGGCACCGACCTGCCTTCAGCTTCCTGCCTGGCAAACTCCAGTTTCACTTTTCTTTTCTTCGAAGACTGGCCCCTTATTGCGTGTATCAAAGCACAGACTTCCTGTTTTGCCTGCTGGCATCTCCCTGTAAATATCCCAGTCTTACAGGAGTGATCCCTGTCCCAGCCCCTGGAACCTGGAAAAGGGCAGGGACAACAAGCCCAGCGTCCAGGTGAGTTTCTGTCTTTGCTGCTTTATTCCTCGCTCTTGGTGACCACAGCTTTATAATCAACTTCCTAGCAGCAGCTGCAGGGTGGAGTTCAACTATTTCAACTCGGGGAGCTCTCAGAGCTCAGGCACGTGGTACTTCTTAGGAGACTGTTAAAAGGAGGACCATGGAGGGAAAACTGACAACAACTCTTTTTTCCCGTAGGATCTAGCCTGTTACTGTGAATGGAAACGAGATTTGTCCTCCACCCTCCCCTCAGCTCTGATCCCTACCCTGCCCGCAGTAGCGGCTCATCTGTTATCCATTGTGTAAATGACTAGAGGTCCTTGGGAAGCTGATGGAAAAGGAAAACCTGAGAGTACATTTAATTTCCTCTCCAGTGTATCATGAACTTTTTATATATTTTCTTTAAACACATTCATGATTATTTCCTTGAAATAAATTATTAGAAGTGGGAATTCGAAGGAATTCTGTAATTTGTTTCAAGGAAATAATCATATTTTGGGGCATTTGACACTGATTACTAAATCAGCCTCCAGAACATTCAGACCTGTTTACCTTCCCAGTCACAGTGTCTGGAATTATTGCTATTATTTTCTACGTTCGCCAATTTGATAGACAAATATGTTATCAAACTGTCTTCATTTACACTTTGGATATTTTTGTTTTGTTTTGTTTTGGGGTTTTTTTGTTTGTTTGTTTTGAGAGGGAGTCTCACTCTGTTGCTCAGACTGGAGTGCAGTGGCACCATCTCAGATCACTGCAACCTCCACCTTCCAGGTTCTAGAGATTCTCCTGCCTCAGCCTCCTGAGTAGCTGGGACTACAGGCATGTGCCCCCACACCCAGCTAATTTTTGTATTTTTAGTAGAGACAGGATTTCACCATGTTGGCCAGGATGGTCTCAAACTCCTGACCTCAGGTGATCCGCCCGCCTTGGCCTCCCAAAGTGCTGGGATTACAGGCATGACTCACTGTGTCCAGCCTTCATTTATACGTTCTACTAGCTAGTTAACATGCTTTTTATATATTCATTGTACATTTGGATTATTCTTTTATCACTTCCTGTTCATGTATTTTGCTTTTTTTTTTCTAGTTGGATGTTTGTCTTTTGCTTATTTGTTTGCAAAATCTCTTTACATAATAAAAATCTGAACAGTCATTGATAAGATGTAGTATCTTGCACACAGAGAAACAGGATGTTAGAGTCAGACAAGCTCTACTTTGCCACTGAATACCTTGGGTGAGTTACTTAACCTCTCTGTGCCTCCCTTTCATCTTGGGACTCATGACAGATGAAGAATGAGGAAGCTTCAGACTTCCTGTTCTGAGCACTGCTGTATAATGAATTGTCCTGAAAGGAGCCCCAAGACCCCTTCCTCTTCTTAGTATATATTCATTCTGACTTTCTGTGACTCTGTACTGATCTTTGCACTATCTCCTTCCCGTAGGTATACTGTGGATAGTAGATTTCTCTCCTACCTGTTCTCTGTCTTCCAAAACTTCTTCCCCACCACTGACTCTCAGTGGCATCTTTTCTGGTTTTCCAGTGCTATTGCAGATTATTCTTTTCATGACTTTTTTTTCTGCCAAGTTAAAAAAAAAATTGGGAATGAGGAGAAAGAGACTAGGGTGCTTCATCTGCCGCTGGGATTAAATCCCTGGAAACAGTTGTTAATTACAATTTAATTTCTGTTCAACACAAAATGAAGTTGGAAAAAATGGAATCCATGTTTGTTTTGTTTTTTAAAAAATCTCAAGACCGTTGAATGTTTTGTTAGTGATTTCCTTTTCTTGACAATTTGTCAAGAATGTCATTTGTAAATTTTCTGCCCATTATAACCTAATGATATCTTCTCGTGGTCCATAAATGGCCAATCTTTAATAAATGTTGCATGGCTTGGGAAAGGCACATGTCTGAGATATGAAATGCTTGCATTGAACAAGTCAGTGAAGTCACTTTTACTAAGTATGCTTCTCAGCCCTCATGCTTTCATTTTTGCTTGGCCCATTTGTGTTGAAGATTGGGAGTGGTTTAAATGATATTCATAGAGGAAACACTCTATAAATATCAGCTACTTTTAATATCTGCCTTATGTTTACCTGCAGCCCCTTGAGATTCTGTCATTATATTTTCAGTCACTCTCAGCCTCCGTTATTGCTAGGAATTGTCATTGTTTCTAATACCCATGAGGCTTTTAGGCAGACATTGCCTTGCAGGCTACTAAGGATGCCTTTGGGACCAGAATGCCTACCTTTAGATCTGCCCATTTAATGCATAGAGAAGCTCTCCACACTCCTCAAGGTCTTTGCTTCTATTTTGTTCATTTGTTTGTTTGTTTTGAGATGGAATCTTGCTGTGTCACCCAGGCTGGAGTACATTGGCACAATCTCAGCTCATTGCAACCTCATCTCCTTGGTTCAAGCGATTCTGCTGCCTCAACCTCCCCAAAAGCTGGGACTACAGGTGTGCACCATCCACACCCAGATAATTTTTGTATTTTTAGTGGAGATGAGGTTTCAACATATTGGCCAGGATGGTCTTGATCTCTTGACCTCATGATCTGCCCATCTTGGCCTCCCAAAGTGCTGGGATTACAGGCAAGAGCACCACACCTGGCCTTTGCTTCTATTTTTTATCATGCCTTTTTCCATAGGATGTTCACCATGACAAGAGCCATGGAAGAGGCTCTGTTTCAGCACTTCATGTACCAGAAGCTGAGGATCGCCTATGCCATACACAAGCCATTTCCCTTCTTTGAGGGCCTCCTAGACAACTCCTTCATCACTCAGAGAATGTACACGGTGAGTCCTGTTGGACCCTTCCGTGGGAGCCCAGCACCCACCAAATACACCCAATTATTGAGGTCTCAAACCACAAACCACCAGGGCCTCTAGAGTTTGGAAGGCCTAGCCTGGCCGTGTTCATTATCTCAGAAGATGGGGGTGACTAGGAGAGAGGGTGTCTTAGAGGCTATATTGGTTTCTAGGGTATCATAAGGACTGCTGTGACAATGACTACAAACCAGGTGGCTGAAAACAACAGAAATATATTCTCTCAGCTGTGGAGGCCAGAAGTCCAAACCCAAAGTGTCGACAGGGTTGGTTCCTTCTAGAGGCCTTGAGGAGAATTTGATCTCTGCCTATCCCCTAGCTTCTGGAGGCTGCTGAAAGTCCCTGGTGTTCCTTGCCTTGTAGACACGAGGCATCACTCTAATCTGTTTCCTTCTCTACATCACCTGTCTTTTGAGTCTTCTACCTAATCTCCTGAGGACACTTGGATTTAGGGTCACCCTGATCAATGATGATTTTGTTTCAATCTCCTTAACTTAATTACAACTGCAAAGACACTTTTTCCAAATAAGTTCACATTCACAGATTCTAGATCCATATATCTTGGCTGAGGCAGGCACCATTCAACTCACTACAGGCATCATCCCAATTTATAACAGCTTATGTTGCTCACAGTGTATTCTGATGTGAGACAGGCAGGCACTGGGAGATATGCTATGTGGACAAAAGTGGACCCATTTTTACATAATTTGGGTTTTTAAAACCATTTATTGAGCCCTAGACTCAGGGAAGTGCCAGCAGTCTTCCCCTAGTCTTAGCCTGGTGGACCCAACTCCCTCTTCAGATCACAGACGAGATCATACTCCTCAGAGACGTCTCCTTGACCCACTTATCTCATTAAGACCCCTTAGTTATTCGGTTCCATCGCAATCTATGCTTTCCCTCCATAACACTACTCTCAATTGTAAATGGGTATTTATTTGTGTTTATTGTTTAATGCCCATCCTCTCCACCTGACAGTTCTGACCCCGCCCCCCAAATATGGGAAGCTCCATGTTGGTCTTATTCAGTGCTGTGTATCTAAAAACTTGCTGACTGAGCGTAGTAGGTGTTCAATGAACATTTGCAAACAATTCTCTTTTGCCATATTTCTCCTTTTGTCCATCCTCTCAGCAAGGAAAATTCTCTGGGTGACTTCTCTGTGGCTGGAATCCATTCAGGCCATCTCAAGTTTGAGAGACACACACAGAGAGAGCGTAGAGGCTAACATGCAATCAACAGAATTGCCTCTGTGACCATCACTAGAACCATTGCTGAAGTATCCTGCCCAGAGCCTTAAAGAATCAGTTACATAGCCACATCCTTTAATTCCACTTTCCTTCCTTAAAATTTCTCTCTTGTCTCAAATGTGCTTGAAATGTGGATTCAGAATATAGACTTGCTTTAAAGACAGCTAAATTATTTATTTTTGTCACTAGTCATCCAAATAGGTGTAAAGTTTCAAAAATAAGCATGTAAAACTGTGACCACTCTACCTTAGAAACTGTGACTCTACATTTTATGGTAAATTTCTTCTTAAAAGAGTAAAGTAGCTTTCTTAAAACTTGGAAGATCACGAATGTATAACTTCCCGTTCAATTTTATAATTGTTGTTAATGAACCTTCACTTCATTTTTTAAGGAATCTCTGGAAGCCTGTAGAAATTTGGTCCCTGTATCCAAAGTGGTGCACAACATTCTCACCCAACTGGAGAGGACTTTTAACCTGTCTCTTCTGGTGACATTGTTCAGTCAAATTAACCTGCATGAATATCCCAATCTGGTGACGATTTACAGAAGCTTCAAACGTGGTAATGAGATTTCTCAAGTGCTTTTTGCATTTGAAAATTTGCTATGGTAAAAGTCTGGGTCTACTTCTAGCCCTGTGGAATATGCACAATAATCCCCGGCTTTCTCTTTGGGAAGGAATGGACTCATTTTCTTTCATTGGTACGGCTGCAGGGGCAGCCCTTTTCTAAAGCTGACTCCAACTCTCTAAGATGAATTTCTAGAGGGCATAAACATTTTTTGCGTGTTCTATGAATTTGGAAAAAAATCATATACTTTGGCATACTGGACAATCTATATGGAATGCATAAGGTGACAAAAATGCAAAGTTACAGAGACCAGGTCTGGTGGAAGGACAAGGTCAGCCAGGGAGGAAGAAGAATGAATAAGGATAGATAATAACAAGTATCTTTTTCTTATTGCGATATCACCAATACTTTATTTGATTATCTCATATCATCTTTAAAGCAATCCTGTGAAGTCATTTTTGTCTCCATTTTACTGACAGAGAAATTAAAGCCCAGAGGTAATTTTCTCAAAGTTAATTATCTGTTGTCTGTTAAGAAGCAGAGCAAGAGTCCTACTTGGGTCTCCCAACACCAGGGCCTGAGATTTTAACCACTAGTCTGAACAAGGACACCTGGAAGGCATACAGTAATGCGAGAGAAGGGAAGAAAGGTAGCTACAGAAAAAGGGAGGGAATCTCAGCCACAGCCACAGAAAGAGAGGGTCTGAGAACGAATGGAGCATGAAGTACATGAAGAAAGAAAAGAGACTGGATAAATAAAGGAGTAGGAAAAAGAACCGTGGCAGAGCTAGGAAGAAGCAGCCAGGGTGAAAGAGCAGACAGTGAAGTCATTTTAGGTTGGAAAAAAAACAGTGGAAGAAAAACAGCATGTTTATTATTGACTAAATTATATGACACCAAAATTAAAGCATATGTTCACTTGCCTCAGAACAACAAGGGAAGGGCCACTAGCCCACGTTGGATTGTGATATTTTCTTTAGTGGAATCACCGTTGTTGACAGTTCCTCCTTTGCTCTCTGACACTTCACCACTAAAGGGTTCCCCCCAAAGGGGCAGATTATTTCTTGAGCTAAAGGGACAGTGAAAGGGGCAAATCCACCTACAGGCAGGAGCAGCTACAGAGGGCCCACTGCTCTGGCAGGATCCTGGCAACATTAGGAGAGGCATGGCCTTAAAGGCAATGTGAAGAACACCTGAGAGGCACCGGGACCCACACACTGATGTGCCCCTGACCTGGCTGAGCTTCAGTTATCTTCCACGATCTTCAACTTGATGATTTTGTTCTGGATCACTTTCCAAAATCTGAAGTTACTTTCCTTTCTCCATTCACTGGTTGAGATCATTTTACTTCTGAAATAAATGATGGAGAAGAATCATTAGAGAAACCCAGCACTAGCCATGCAAGGGAATAGCATGTGGAAAGCCAAGGGTCTGGGGTATTGTGGATGGGAGAGAAAGCTGGGTGTGGCCAGACCACAGGGTATGATAGAAGGCACAGAAGCTGACTCTGCAGAAATGAGCAGAAACCAGAATATGAATGTCCTAATATATCCTGCTAAGGAATTTTTATTTTCTCTTGTTTGCTTTGGGGAAGTATGATCTATTTATTTATTAAAACAGAGACTTCTTTTAAAACTGTAGCATGTTTATTATTGACTAAATTATATGACACCAAAATTAAAGACAATTAAATCCCTGGGTACAAACCCAAACCCAACTTTATGTGTGAAACCATTTTGGTATTAGATCAGGGCTTAGATCGCAATGCCCAAACTGGATAAATAAAATAGAAAGGGGCCGCATGTGGATAATGATGACAGTGAATCCGTTCTATGCACCTGGGGGACAATGAATAACTCCATGTCCCCATCCTGTTGGAAGGCGTGTATTGAGAAATCCCCTTCCCCAAGTAATTCGGAGTCTCTCCAGGGTACTGATGTATGTCCTTTCACCAATCCCAGTTGGTGAACAGCAGAGCAGAGCTTCTTGTGAACAGCAGAGCAGAGACACACCAATCCTACTTGAAGCCCCAACTGGCCTAGCAGGAGGAAGCTCACTGCGTACCCTGCTGCCGCTGCCCCCACCACAACCCCCTCAACCAAGCTGTTCATCCTGTGCACCAAGAGTCAGTGAGCCTGGAACATCCTCACAGCAAAGCGATGAGATCCCGAGTGAATCACCCAGCCCATCTGACCCTACCCTGCCTCTTCCTGGACTCATCCAGGAAGGAAGGAACACTCCAGGTGAGAAAGAGATCCCATCCAACACCTGTATATCCCCAGCATAGGGCGCCTGTGCCATGTTGCCTCCAATCCCAGCATCTTGCCTTTTATTGTCCTAGTTCTTCCCCTGCACCCACCTGCCCATACACAGCCCTTTTCAAGGGGAATTATGAGCACTGCCAGGAGGCTGGGTAACATCTAGAGTCTAGAACTCCTGCTTCCCACTCCTAGGACAGCCCAACCCTCTACTCTTGTGCCTTGATGCTCTATCTTCCCCCAGAACTTCTAATATTCACTCTCCTCCCTCACATCCAGTCCCTGTGATCTGTAATTATTTCCTTTCCTCCTTCAGTGACCAATGACAAGTTAACACCCAAAATGAATGAGGAAGAAGACTCAAAAGAGATGCCCAGCCTCCTCGCTAGCACTGTACAAGGTAACACTGACTGGGGCTGATACAGCTTAGCTCAAGGTGGATGTGAAGGGAGAAGAGAACACATATCTGCCAACCAGGAGGCTATGGTGGGAACCCTGGGAAAAAGAACTGGGCATGACAAGGAGAAAGAAGCAGAAGGGGCCTATTCCCCAAAGCAGCAATGCAAAACAAACCGACAACCAAAACACCATTCTGAATTGACAGGTAACCTATGTAACATACACTAGTAACCTTTAGCAGATTCCTCACGCCCACCTGATTATGGGATCCTTTGAGTTTCAACCTTCTTCATTTTTATATGGTTTGGATTCTAAGAGCAATGTTATCAAAATTACTAGAAAAGATGATTAAATATTTAAATGTCTGCTCGACCTGATACTTAGCTTCTAAAATTGTCTCACTTGTCCTCCCCAAACCATTGTCTTAATGGAATTTGATTACATTAAATATAACAATGGTATGTTATTGGGCATTGTCAAAAATGAGATCATGGATTCCGAGCTCCCCGGTACTGAGAATAGGGGTCCTCTGTGATGTATGCACCTGGGAAACAATGAATAATTCCATGTCCCCCTCCTATTGGAAGGCATGTGTTAAGAAATCCCCTTCGTAAGAAATCCATTTATGTAATACGAAATCCCCTTCTCCTGTTTCATAGGTGCTGTTCACAGGAAGCACCAACTGGGATTGGTGAAGGGACACACTTCAGTACCTTGGAGACTCAGAATTACTTGGGGAAGGGGATTTCTTAAGACATGCCTTCCAACAGGATGGGGACATGGAGTTATTCATCAAATAATGTTTCATCCACTCCTCTAATGCCTACTGTCCAAAAAGGTTAACGTAATCAGGAAGCTAACAGCAATGGAAGAACAAGTGGATAACTGAGTGTGAATGTTTGCTTACTTTCCCACTCTGTCCCACCCCTGCCCAGGGCTTGGTTGCTCGGTTACTCCGTTGTTTTTACTTGTTGGAATAGAGCATTCTCTTCCCTCCTCACTCTGGTCCCTGCTTGTTGTTCTTGAGATCTGAAACTTTTTCTTCCTCCGTTCAGTGACCAGTGACAACCTGATCCCCCAAGTAAAAGATAAAGAAGGCCTTCAAGAGATGCCCCACTCTCCCTTGGGCCCTATGCTAGGTAATCTTGATTCAGTTCACCTAAAAGCTTGCTTTTGTTTCTGTGTCTACCGAGAGGAAAAGCCATTTGGATCTAGAAGATTCAGAGGCTCTCCACCCACCTCTCAACAGCAATCTTGGCCCAGTTTCCAGTTCACCCAGCACTTGGGAGCGTGGACAGGCAGGAGATCTGACCTCTGAATGGATACAGAGTCCCTGGGGAGGTTATAGGTGGCAAGTCTGGAAAAGGCAGACTTAGATTGGGCCACAGATGACAAGGGATAGAGCCCCACCGCTACCTGTAGGCTTGGACTCCAAATGCCACAAAGTGCATGAAAAGGACACATTCACCTGCCACAAGGGGTTGTGGTAGGAACCTCAGGGGAATGGGGAACTGAGTCAGGCTGGACAGTTTGACACAGCCACTCTCCGGAGGCCACTTCAATTAAGCCGTGCTCAAAACTGCTCTGTCAAAATGCAAAGCAAATGAACGAGAACACTGTGCAGCCCTAATAGTGAATTGGTGCAGCAGACGTGGATGGTCCTCCTTCCAAGCCCCAACTTGACCATGGGGAATTTTCACTTTCAACCCTGGTCATTTCTATATCATGTGGAGTTTAAGAGTTGATATTACTAATATAATTTGAAAGGTGATAAATTATTTCAAAGGTTTAATGACTGCTTGCCACCTGCCTCGGTCACCGATTCCTAAGCAGGCCAGCATTTGAGGCTGATCTCATAGCAGTGTGTAAAGAAAAAGGTGACAGCTTCCTGTGAGATGGGCCTTTATTTGTTATGGCTTCAAGCCCTCTGTCTTTCTTTGTGCAGCAAAGACTAGCAGACATTTATATGTCTTTGCTGTTAACAGATGCTAGCAAGCACAGGCTAGTTTCTGCTTTCTTCACACAATCCTTATACACAGAAATATATAGGGCACTTAGCCTTTTTCACTATTTCTCCAAGTAAAATAACCACAGATAGAACAGTTAAAGAATATTCATACATAGACATCAAAGCAATAAGATGTATTTTTCATACAGCAAAGACATTCCCCTTCATTGTGGCCATCAGATTTCAATGTCACCACTTTCCGCTCTCAGCTTCATTCCTTGAGCAAGGGCTGCTGGGAGCAGCAGCTGTGTGACTGTAGTCATGATACCCAGTATAAGGTTGACCGAAAGGAAGGAGAGGCAGACCCAGGATCAGGTTTGGCAAGTTTATTTCAACCTGCCAGGCTGGCTGCCTCACCACAGGCAGTGAAGGCAGCAGCCTGGCTTATACTCGATGGGGATTATATGGGGGGTTTGTTGGTAGCCGGGTGCTAGTCTAAGAAAAACTGCATCTTGGTTCACAGGGGCTGACATTCTGCTTAATTGGGTTAACACCCTGGGTTTGAGAGCCAGGTGCAACCACGTTCTGGAACCCAGGTGCCCTGTTTACAAGGCTTGTGGCTGTTTTTGTTACGAGCTTGGCTTAGCAGGGGAGAACGGGGAGGAGGCCTATGGGCTTGTCTTGCTGTGACCCTAACATTCCAGTCTTTTGTTATATATGTAAAAGAAAGGGAAAAGGGGCGCCGTTCATTTCTAACTGCTTCATGCTGAGTAGGGATGCTGGTTAGGGTGAGGCTGGCTTGCAAGTTGGTAGTCCTGGAACATTATCATGTGTTGTCTTGTGCCGCGGGTAAAAGCTTGTCATCGGTTCTGCAAAAACTGGATAAAAAGGTAAGAGGCAAGGACCAAAGACCAAGAGGAGAAAGAGAGTTACAGCAGGGCCGGGGGGAGGGGGGAAGCAGCCAAGGGGCCCAGGACCTGAGAGGCCAGCCGGGCTGGGAGGGCCAGGCAGAAGCGTTGTTTTCTTGTTGTTGTTTTTTTCTGGGTTTGGTCTTTGAGTCTTTTGATAGTATTTTGTACTAACCTAGATTTATAGAGATAGAAACTGCATTTTTTATTTAAAAAGAAGCACAGACTTTTTTTTTTTCAGCAGTGAGGAGGTCTAGGCCTCTGCAGTTTTTGTAGAGTGACTGCTGTTAAAGAATCTAGTTGATTTTGGGGGTGAGTGATAGAGTTTGCATTTTTTTCTTTTTTTTTTTTTTAGTGATGATTGGCAGTTTTGGGAGAGCAACTGAAACTATGATAATGAGATTTTTAAGCTTCCTGCTTCTAACCTGACACTAGTTGTGACTTTAAGGGCTACTAATAAGGGAATGAACTGTATTTGGTGGGGGGTAGTGGGGACGCATGTAGTGTAGTAGGGCAGGGAGTTTTTGGTTTGGAGGGACAAGGTCAATGTTGGGGGTCAGGTAGACTAGGCTGCGAGTACCTGTCTAGTCGGCAGGAGACAGAAGTAGGTTGTGGATCTGAAGAGAAAGAATTTGCCTGCGGTGTTAATGTAAACAGACAAGTGGATTGAGAATGGGTGTTGGAGTGTGTAGAGGCTCCTTGTTTGGAGGGACTTAGTCCAGCTCTAGCAACCTAGAGTGAGGAGGAGAGAGAGAGAGAGACCCCTTTGAGGGCTCCTGTCTGGGGAGGGGGTTTCCATGTTTAAGAGGCAGGAGACGAGGTATTAAAGAGGGGCTGGGTAAAGAGGCCATTAACTTCAGGGGAAACTTAATAATTTACTTGGAGTGAGATATAGGAAGAGGAATTGGAGATGCTTTGAGTTGAGCCACAGGCAGAGGGAGGGATGGTGCCTATGTGTATGTGTCCCTTGGAAGAAGTGACACATAAGGGGACTTGGCCAAGTTTTGAGGTGTAGAGGGTTACAGGGCTTTGGTTGGCAAGGTGAGGGAGTTTTGTGTGGCTGTCATTGGCAGTATATGTGGAGGGAAGTTTGGGAGCTCTGTTAGCGAGGGTGGTGGGATAGTCCTAGTGAGGGTGAGGGCTCTGTCTACAAAGGCAGAGCCTTTTTGGATGGTGTGTGAGAAGCAAATGGGAATATGGTCCTAGGGCTGAGAAACTGGGATAGCCGCGTAGGCAGGAGAGAAAGGGAAAACAGGTATGGGAAGGTAGTCTCTTTTAAAGGGTTTGTGAGGTGGCTGATGGAATCCTGTGGATAAACTCTTTTTGAGACTTTTTTCCTTTTGTGTGTGTGTGTGTGTGTGTGTAGGAATAGTGGACCTTTACTATTTGGTATGTTATGGGGAAAGGCTTTTTCTCTTGCTTGATGTGTAGGGACAGGAGGAGAGCCGAGGGCCCCTTGAGAGGAAGTGACAGAGCAAACATGACAGTTTGAGGTTATGTCTTTCAGTGCAATAAATAGATGGGGTAAGAGAAGTAAGGGCGAAAGAGAAGGTACAGGGGGCGTGCACTGATATGGAAGGATTGGTGAAGAGATGTTACAATTTCCTTGGTTGGTTTTGAGGGAGGATGAGTTTTTTGATTTTTGACTATCCAGTTTATCTGGAAGGAGGCTCCTTGTTGTAACAATAAAGATTTCAGTGGGGGAATACTGGGGTTGGATTGTGGGGGTAATGAGGAGGAGGGAGGTAGGGGCAGAGGAAGGGAGGCTTTTTTTTGCTGCCTCGTGGGAACTTTCTGTTCCCTTTTGAGATTATATCTGATTTTGTTTGGTGTCCTTGGCAGTGTATGACTCCTGCCTTAGCTGGGAGGTGTGCAGCTTGGAGGAGTTGGTAAATAAAGGGATCATGAGTGATGGGGCTTCCTGCCTAGAATGGGAGTAGGACAGCGAGGCATAAGGAAAGAGTGTGAGAAAATGGGATTACATAGGGAACAAGTGAGTTTGGTGGTGCATGGGCTTGAGAGCTGGGTGTGACCACATCCAGGAACCTAGAGGCCCTGTTTACAAGGCTTGAGGCTATTTTTCTTATGAGCACAGCTTAGCAGGGGAGAACAGGGAGGGGGTCTATAGGCTTGTCTTGCTATGATCCTAACACCCAGCAGTTTACTTCTGCAATTTCCATTCATTGCACCTTCTTCACTCACTTCTGTTCCATCCATAAGAGAATCTAAAAGGATCAGACTAAGCCTCCGTTGTGGGGCAGTTGTGCCTTAGATCCCTGTGATGGTCACACAGGTAACAATAACCACAAGTTGGCAAAAATCAAGACAGAGCCAGGGAACCTCTAGGGCTAAGCAGATCCCCACGCCCAGGCTGCATGCACTTTCTACCTTTCTAGTTCTTCCATTGATTTCCCTCAGCACTTTCTTTTCACCTAGTTTGAGCTCTGAAGTGAGGTATGTTTCTTTTGTCAGAGATAAGAGATGATGGTCTAGAACCAAATGACCCAGAAGAGCCCCAGGAGGTATCCAGCACGCCTTCAAGCAAGAAAGGTAAGGAATGCCTTTCTCCTGTAGATATCAGAAGGGTGAATTAGAGTTGCTTTCTGTTTATCTGATTGTATCTTATCAGGAGCACCACTATGTGACCACAGTCCTGATGCCAAGCACAGTCTGTTTCTGCAATTTCCTTCCACTGCATCTTCCATAAAGGCCTTTATGAAAATTACCGGGAAACCAGAAGGCATTTGGGGATATTGAAATATGCCATTGGAATTGCCTGTCCTGAAAAAAAAAAAAAAACAGTCTTCTATATCCGCAACTTCTTAGAGTGTTAATTGCACCTCCCTCTTTAACTGGAAGTTGGTTCCCCAGAGAGGACCCCACTTCCTCTTAAGACCTGGCTGGGCATTCTCTGTCATCCATCACTCACACCTCACGGTAGGAGGCAGGTTAGATGTCCATCCTTTGCTGCCTACTGACCCTATCTAGCCCCTTCCTCCCCCATCCTCTCCTTTGAGGTTAACCATTCAATTAAAATGTTCACTCACTCATCATCAATATCATCCAATACTAATTTCTCCAATAATCCTTTCAAAGGCTGTTTTTCTGTCATTTCAAATCCCAGAATCGTCCTAGATGCCTTCAGGGTACACATGGATAACAGGCAACACTGTTATCCAATACTCTGGTCTCTCAAATTCTTCATCTTCTCATTTTCCATGACTTTTTCCTCCACCAATTTTTGGCCATCCATACCAAAAGGCAATGTATAGACCCTATCATCTTTCAAACCTGGCTCGGTTTCCCAACAGTTAATTTCAAAATTCCTTTTTTGATACCTATCCTTGAGCTTTTTTCCTTCTATAGTTATCATTCAACCTCTGATCACTCTTTCCCAGCCCAATCCTAAAAAAAAAAAAAAAAAAAAAAAAAAAAAAAAAATCAAAAATATCTTTTTCTGTTTTCTTATTTATTTGTTGTTTCCTCTGAAGCTGTCCTTCAGCCTCATTTGGATCACCAGTGCCCTGGCCTACCCTCCTTTTAAGCCATCATCTGCTTTTCTTTGCTTCCCAACTTTCTTAACATCGACGCTAACCTACAGTCCAAGGTTCATCATTTGAGTAATCCATTGCCATTATCTTAAACCTGCCTTTCCTCTCTGCCTTTTTTCCTGGAACTCTCTGGCAAGTCTTGGAAGGCCCTACTTATCTGCTTCCTGCACACTGCCTCTGAAAGCCAGCAGTGCTGGAGGGAGTTCCACAGCGGGGCAGAGCGCACGCACTGGAGTTCATGGTTCCAGCACAGATCATGTCTCCCTACTGTGTGACAATGCTACTTCCTGCAATAATCCTTTCAAACCTCAAGCCCTATTTTTCAAACCTCTGACTCCCTCCCCTCCTGCTGTTTGCTCACTCGATGACTTTCCCTCCTGCACCATAAGAAGATATCAGATGAGAATCCCCTTATTTGTACTGCTAGCCCTGCAAACCCTAACTGCATCTGTCTCCCTCCTCTCCAAGTTCCCCCTTCTCTTCTAAGACAATCCTTCCACCTCATCTTATAGTATCCATGATCCCTTCTCTCTCAAGTATTCTTATAGCAGTATCTCTCACACAAGAATCTGCATTCAGACAATAATTATACATATCATAGCTCATAAAAAATGCTTTTTCTTCAGGTGTGGTGGCTCACACCTGTAATCCCAGCACTTTGGGAGGCCAAGGCGGGTGGATAGCAAGGTCAAGAGATCAAGACCATCCTGGCCAACGTAGTGAAACCCCGTCTCTACTAAAAATACAAAAAAATTAGCCAGACGTGGTGGCACATGCCTGTAATCCCAGCTATTTGGGAGGCTGAGACAGGAGAATCGCTTGAACCCAGGAGGCAGAGGTTGCAGTGAGCCAAGAATGCACCACTGCACTCCAGCCTGGGCAAAAAGAGCAAAACTCCGTCTCAAAAAAAAAAAAAAAAAAAAAAAAAAAAAAAAATGCTTTTTCTTGATTCTCACCTCACTTCAGCTACTTCCATAGCTCTCTCGTTCATTTCACAGCCAAATGTCTAGAAATGAGCTACCTAAACTCCTGTCTCCATTTCTTCACTTCTCCTCCTCTGTCATTTTAGAGTCCTGCTTCCCCTACTGCTCCCTGAAATAGCATCACCTAAGGTCACCAATGACCTCCTAGCAATGTGGTTTGAAGGCCAAAAGTAAAAGCTGAATATCGTTGACATGTAAGATTGGCAGATCGATATTTGTAACTATAAAACATTATCCTTTCTTTTTAGGAAAGAAAAGTAAAAGATGTATCTGGTCAACTCCAAAAAAGAGACATAAGAAGAAAAGCCTTCCAAGAGGTAAGATGAGAGTGAAAGAAGAAGCCGGAGGCTGGAGACAGCTCGTGCAGGGCTTATAGGTCAAGCTGTGGACGGCTGAATTTTATTCTAAATGCAATGGGAAGCCATGGAAGAGATTTAGTCAGTGAAGTGACAGAAGCCAAGCTCAATTTTGCTACTGTGTAAAGAGTGAGTTGGAGCTGCGAAAGAATGGAGGAAGGGCAGCCATTTGGGGGCAGATGCCAACAGAGCTATTAGTGGCTTGGATTCAGATCTGGCAGTAGAGATGCAGAAAAGAGTGCCAATTCAAGATCTGTTTTGCAGATAATGTTGACAGGATTTGACATATTGTTAGCTACAGATGAGAAAGAGAAAAGTCAAGGCCTGCTCTTCAATGTCTAGCTTGAATGATTAAGTGGTAACACCCATTGCTGAGGGAAAATGCAAATGTATTGGGGGATGACTCTTAGAGTTCAGTGTTTGACCTGTTCATTTAGAGGTTTCTGCTAGCCATCTGTGCAGCTGTACATAGATGTGTGTTTTGACCAGAACTGTAAAGGGTCTGAGATCTTACTCCACTTGCATTGGTATGTCCTTTATATATATGAGTGCTGCAGTAACACAAGGTATCTGGATTAGGGAAAATAATTCTTTACTGATATTCACAACCAGCTCATCAGCCAGAGTCACATTGCAGAATCTGTCTCCCATACACAAACCCACAGGCAATGCTAAGAGAGCTAATGGAATCTTTCTATTCAAAATAGACTGCAACTCATGTATAAGGGATGTAGAAGAATGGATTTTCTGTTCAGATACATGACAGGGATAGCCATCATCCTCTCCTCCTGAAAGGAAAAGAAAAAAGCTTTGCTGCTTTGAGATAAAATGGAAAAGATCTTGATTCCAAAGGTCCTCATCCTAGCCTTTGGAATTTAAAAGCATCTTTCCAAAGGCCAGAGAAACTCCAGGTGTTTCTGGCTTTTACAACCTAAAGATGTCTCCAAGTCCTGGGCTTTCTCCCTTCTGATATATAAATACCTAGGGAAAGACCACTCCAGCTATCCTGGTACTTTAGGACTTAACCTAGGAAGCTAGTCCTAGGTGAACCCATTTAGCCATCTCAGGAGATGAGAGAAGTTGTATTATCCTTTCAGATCAGAGCAATTAACTAGAAAAATAACTATAGCTCTAATTCTCATGGTATGTGAAGAGTGAAATGTTTCCGGGGAAGTGAAAGCAAGTATTTCCTATATTTATATCATATACATTTCTATATCTCAGGGGCCAGGGCTTTTTATAGGAACACTGAGAAATCAGGAAGTTATATTCCCCCACAATATGGCAATTTGGCACTCATTGAAAGAGTCTGGTCCAGATATACATACATACATCTCTGTATGTGTGTGTGTGTGTGTGTGTGTGAGAGAGAGAGAGAGAGAGAGAGAGAGAGAGAGTTATTAGTAAAATAAAGGAATTCTGATCTATGGGAGAAGAAAAGTGAACCAAGGACCCAGCCCTGCTCTCAGAAATCCCAGTGAAAGAGGAATCCAGTGAGGCAGACGGAGGGGGCGAGACCAGTGAGGACAGAGGAGCACCAAGAAAGAACATGTCAGCAAGCCAGGAGGGAACAGTTGACTATACAGAGAAACGAAGATAAATTCAGAGAAAAGAGCCTTGGGTTTGGTCACAAGGAATCACTGGGAAACTTAAGAAAAGTTTTGGTGATGGAGGCGGGAGCAAGTTGTATGGGTAGAATAATGAATGGGAGGTAGTAACTAGGTAGACAACTCTAGCTGTAAAGGGAAATGGAGCAATAGATGGCAGCCTAAGCCAGTGGCTTAAAGCTTCTTTTCCCTGAGTTTACCCTTAGCATGATCCCAGTGTCCAAAATCATAGGGTTGGTGTCCTTTTAAGGTACTTCAAAGAAATGATTCCATTCTAAGAAAAGTAAGTGACCTTTCTGGGCAAGAGGGAGAGACAAGCTGCCTTCTCCCCCATTCTGCTTATAAGTCAGTGCCCTCTCACCATGTTGTGTGTGTTATCTATGAGCCTCCTTGGTTTAGTGTAAACTACTCAGGTTATTCAACTCACACTCCTGAGCTTTGTCAACCACTCTCACAACTTTGATTACCACCTCTACACTGATGGCTCCCAAATCTATGTCTTCAACTCGGGTTTGCCTTCAAGACACCCATAGCCAGCTGCACACTGGGCATCTTTGTTTGCAAGTCCCCCATTCACACTGCAGCCTCAATACGCCTGAAATTAAATTCATCTCCTTCACCAGAAACCTAGTCTTCTAAGTACCATTCACACATGTATTCAGCAAACATGCAGTGAGCACTAACTGTGTATACCCATTCTGAAAATGGAAGACAGGTGTTTTTAAAGAAAGCAAGAAAGTGAGCAAAAAAAGAAAGGAAAGATTATGGAGCTTGCAACCTGGCTGAGGGAGAGAAAGAATATCAACTAGAAAGCGCATCAACAAGACAATTTCAAGTAGTGATGACAGGATGAGAGAAAATAATGGATAGGATTACAACAGTGACTTGCAGGTTGGGGTGGGGGTCACTTTGGATTGGATGATCCAGGCAGAGGGACTCAAAAATGCAAAGGACCTGAGGCAGAGAGGGAAGACCAGTGTTGTTGGCGATGCTGAAGAAAGAAGGTGGTAGAATGTGAAAGAGTAGACAAGGATCAGATTATGTAGGGTTCCACAGGCCTTTGGGGGATTTTAGAGGTTATTTAACTTGACATGAGGAACCTAATTTACCCAGGTGCCAAGCAAAAGCCTAAGTCATCCGTGACTAACGGAACCCTTGTTAGTATATTGACAAATTCTGTTGGTTCACCCTCTTTTCTACACTAAAATCTGATTAGTTTATTTCCACATTTAAATCTTGTCCTGTTGCCCTTAGGATAATGTTCACTGTCCTTAAGTGATTGTTAAAGCTCCCTCCAGTCCAACCCTTGCCTTACCCTCCAACTATTAATGTATCTCTTTCCTTTCAAAACTGCAGTCAACCACTCTGAACCTTCATTTCCTCCCCTTTCATTTCTCTCCCCTTTGATCCTTGGCATGTGCTGTTCTCTTTGAATGCTGTATTCTGAACCTACACCGCTCCCCATAAATATTTAGTTATTTCCTTTTCATCAGTGGTATTGGCTTATGACTACCTCAGGAATGCATACTCTGACCCTTAAATTAGCCAAGCTGGTCCCACAGTTTCTACAGCACACAGCACTGGCTCTTTTGGAAGATTCTAAATACTCTGTTGCGATTACTTATATAATATGTCTCTTCTAGGCTAGATGGTAATGTACAAGTGAGCTATTAATTATTTTTTAATGAAAAAAAGGAAAGAAATCATATTTTCTGCAACCCAAAATTTGAATAATGATCTGACAAAGGATAGTTTATGTATCTATTATTTGTGTTGTGAAAAGGGGTCACAGACACGATGGGCACCACGTGGTGTAGATACGAACTAAAGGTTATTGGAGGGAAATTTCCACTACAGTTCTGCAAATTCTTATTATCCCCCATTTAGGGCAGACATAGATAGTCTGCACATCCCATGGCCAGCAGTCCAGTACTGAGATGCCCAGTCCCATAATGCCCTACACATTATAGGGTTAGGGGGACTGGGAATGTCCATGCAACTATATAATTATGAACCTTCCCTGGTCAGAGAAGTGACCTTGTTAGAAAAGGGAAACCTCTGGAGTCTGGGGCTCATGTCAGATGTGACAGATGATGTGCTTTAAATTTTCTTTTTTCCAATTTTCCAATTTTTTATTGGTATAAAATACACATGACATAAAATGTATCATCACAACCATTTTTGGCGCATGGTTCAATGGTATTAAGATACATTCACGATGCTGTGCAACCATCACCCATCCATCTCCAGGACTCTTTTTATCTTGTAAAACTGAAACTCTGTACTCATTAAACAACAGCTCCCCATTCCTCCCTGCTTGCAGCCCAACAGAGATATTTTTAAGAGTCACATCATTTTACATTTAATTAATCATTATTTTTTTTTAATACTGAAACACCTAAAAAGATGTTTCAAAACTGAAGAAGGAAAAAACAAGGCAAGTTTTAGGCACTATCAGGCTTCCCCACCTCTTCTGGATAAATTTTCAGTAACTTCCATGTTTGAACTTCCTGCCAGCCTGGGTCTCACAGGGCTTCCACTTCCACTGCCTCTTAAGGGTTCACTCATGCCTTTTCCTGCGGAAGCAGCCTTCGGCTATCCCGGCACTTGCTTGCGGGAGGCGTGGCTGCACACTCCGTGTCCTTTCTAACCCACAGAGAAACATTCCTGTTCAACAGGACAGTGGTCATCCTGTGGGATCAGCTTCTAAAGTCCACAGACAGTGAAAATTGTGTTTTCTTTCACAACAAAGTGAACTCACCTCTGCATGGCTGGCATTGTGCCTCCTCTGGGTCTCAGCCTCACCTTCCATATCTCCCTCACAATACCCACCTTCTTGGCAGGGATCTTACCTCTCAGATTTTTTAATACCTTGTACTTTGCTCACTGAAGGCATCTGGAAACTTTTGGATGTCTCCTGTACCACACACGGGCCCTGGGGGAACCTGAAGAGGCACTTTATAGGACCCCTCCTCTCCACTTAGACGAGACTGTGTGGCCACCTTGTGGTGCAGGGTGACACAAACCAAAATCAGGAAATTAGACCCACTGCACTAGAACTTCCCCAGTTTTATCTAGTTGGCTACAACAGGTCGTACCAGGAGTGAGGGCAGATAGTAATCTGGGGAGACAAAGAAAGGTGCACATAAGAAGAAGGATAGAATTATAGAGAAATGGCAGGAGAAAAGTGAGGTACAGGGGTACAGAGATCTGAAAGGGTGGGAGTTGGAGGGAGGAGAAAGGAAGTCACTGATTGGGATGGTAGGAGGTCACTGAAGACCCCAATTTAAACTATTCACAAGTCATCATTTGGTCCAGGGACAGCCTCACCTAGACATGGAATCGAAAAGAAGCTCGAAGTGGTGGATCGGGTTCCTCAAAAGAAAGATGACTCAACTTGGAAGTCCACGGTAATGACAAGGGCCCAGAAGGCGAGAACTCAGCGTGCCCGAAAGTCTAGATCAGAAGGTAAGGCTGACGATGGAATCTGCCATTTGAATGGCTCAATGTGGGAGGGTCCCTCCTGGAGCAGTACAGGGTTAAGTAGATATGTAAAGTCAATAGTGAAAGGAAAGAGTACAGAGAATGAGGATGGAGTATGACGAGAGGGACAAAGAGAGCAAGCATCTGTTGCATCTGAAAAGTTTTTGTGGACGAAACAGACATGTTCACAGGGACAGCTACGGCCTGGGGCAGCAGCTCTCAAATTCTTCGGTCTCAGGACTCCTTTATGCTCTTAAAAATCATTGAGGACCCTAAAGAGCTCTTGTTTATGTTGTTTATGTCAATCTATGTGTACCTTATTAGAAATTAATAATTTAAAAATATTAATTCATTTAAAGTAACAATAAACCAATTGGCTGTTAACATAAATAACATTATTTTATGAAAATAAATGTATTTTCCAAAACAAAAAAAATTAGTGAAAAGAGTGACATCATTTTATGTTTGTGCAAATCTCTTTGATTGTGAGTGAGCTTTATTAAAAAGACAGCTGAATTCCTATAACTGTTTCTGCATTCAGTTGGGATATGTTGCTTTGACTGAAGAACAGAAAGAAAATTCAGCCTCACACACATACGTAGTTTAAAAGGGTGAAGTAATTTAACAGTCTTATGAGCTCTCTGTGGATATTCATCTTTAATACTACACCAACACCCAACAAGTGATAGTTTCTTAAACACTAGTTGTAATGCAAAATTTGAAACCATATCAGTTAACTTCAGACTGTTACAATAAAATACATAAATCAATCTTGCATTTTCAATGGATCTTCTACGAATGCAAGATTTTATAATAGTACAGCTGTTTAGAAAATATGCATTTGGAATCATACCATGAGCTCCTAACTCAATCACACAAGTGTTTTCTTGCTGCCACTGTGGTACTTCAGGATGTAATAGAAATGCTTTATATGTATCCTTCAGTTTTTCACATAGAATATTAAGATGTAAGATATGTACTCAAAGGTAGAAATTTAATAAAATTAATAATTTTCACTGGCTCACCAAGAAGATTCTCAAGTGAATCTTGCTTTTGTTTTTATTTTTTTTTTGGTACAGTGAGCAAGTGACAATGAAGAATGCAGTGATTCCTGCTGAGGTTTCGGGACACTGGTTTGATGCGTCCTAAGGCACCAGCAGTTTTACCTGCCATTGCTCTTGTTCAACCTGTACAAAGGTCGAAATAGTGAAAAAGGCAAATAACATCTTATTATTAAGATAATTTCGACCTTGCAAATTTTCTGAAAAGGTGTGAGGGACCCCCTAGGGGCTCACAGACCTTACTTTGAGAGACTTTAGCCAAGGAGTTCAGATGGTGGTACCCCACTATGGATGTCTCCATTGGTAGAGAAACCACTGCTAACCAGCTGTGGTCTGCTCCTCCCGAGTGGCAGACAGGCACAGTGTCAGGAGCAGCACCAAAACTCTTGGTAGATGCATTCTTAGGAGGGCAAGACCTAGACCCTCCAGGCCTCAACTTTAGAGTGTGCAAGGACCTTCTTGGGTCTCTGGGAGATTCTCCATGAAGCTTCCCAAGGAGTATTTACTAAGATTTTCTTTTTCTAGAGATCAGTGATGACACTTCAAAAATGAATGAAGGAAAGAGGAACCAAGAGACGCCTAGCACACCATCAAGGGTCAAGCAAGGTAAAACTTGGAGATCGCTAATCTCAGAGTACAGTCACCAGGAATCTAAATTCAGAACTGTTTTACTCTAAGGCAATATTTCTTAACTTTCTTTTTAATTATCACTGTGCTAGAGAGTCCTTCTAGATATTTTTTCTTAATCAAGACCCTTCCCGTGGTATTTTAATACCACAAATGTATGTCCATTTTATGTAATACATACATATGTATGTGTGTATACCTGCACTTTATAAGATTTTTCTCAGCACTCAAGAACGAGGTTTTGCGCTCCTGGCTGCAGTGTCACCACTACTGAGAATGTGTGTCCTAAGTACATTTGCGGCACTGTGCTGGAAGTTCAGCTTGTCCAAAGTCCAACCTATGGATCAAGCTTTTCCTAGAATTCCAATCTCCATATTTCTCATGTGGCCTTTCTGCGAAAATTGAGAAGAGAAAAACTCATTACAAACACACATGTAACACTATGACTGAGCATGTACACCTGGTGGTGGTGTGGGCATGTGCTGGTAAAACTGTGCCTGTTAATTCTCCCCTCACCATCAGCACCGTTATTCACATTTCTGGAGGGGAGAAAACAGCTGGATATTCTTCTGTTAGCTGATGATATGGTCACTGTCAAAAAAAATCACAGAACTCTCACATGATAAATATGATTTTCAAACAACAAATATCTACTTATCAGGAAGAGTTGATTACATTTTACCACCTTAAAATCTAAATTATCATTTTTAACAGTTTCTCCTTTAGTGTACTGGCTTATATAGTAGTATTTCAACTTCTCTCATGGATGGTTTTATTTTTTTCTCACAACCACCCTTGGAGAAGGTTGAATGACTTATTCCAATTTAACAGATGAGGAAATTGAGACATGGAAAGGATTAATGAGTTTTTTTCAAGATCCCCTGGGCAAGGGCTAGCTGCCACAGGATTAACACCCTGGTCCCCAGGAATCTTTTCAGGAGCCATCATTCTCCAGAGAAAGGAAGGGGCAGAAAGAATACTGTCAAACCTTTGTCAGTTCACTCTTTCCCAAATATAAAACTGCTTATGCAAAAATTACTTTCTTGTTACTTCCAAGATCCTACGGATAATAGAAATAAACCCTCTTTGGGAAAATCTCCCGGGGCAGAAAATAGGTGTAAAGAAGAAACTCTTTGGTCTCTGTGGTGTGGATTGATGTTACTCTGACTGTTGTTATACCATTCTAGGCTATAAAAGACATGCAAACCAGAAAAAGCCTTATGTTTTTTTAAATCCTGATTTAACTATTTTTCAACTTAGAAAAGTTTCTGGAATTTTCTAAAAGCAGTGTGCTGTAACCATTAGGATTATGTTGCTGGCCCAGCATGGTGGCTCACACCTACAATCCCAGCACTTTGGGAGACCAAGGTGGGTGGGTCACTTGAGGCCAGGAGTTTGAGACCAGCCTGGCCAGCATGATGAAACGCTGTCTCTATTAAAAACACAAAAACTAGCTGGGCTTGATGGTGACGCCTGTAATCCCAGCTACATGGGAGGCTGAGGAAAGAGAATCGCCTGAACCCAGGAGGCAGAGGTTGCAGCGAGCCAAGATCACACCACTAACACACACACACACACACACACACACACACACACACACACACACACACAGAGAATTATGTTGCTGTATGTGACAGCAAACCCCACCCCACTAAAAAATAAGAATACAGTAGTAGCTATTATTTTGTGTGCACAGATGGGCGGCCAACAGCTGATGTCACACACTGAAGGGTCCCCAGCTGCTTCTTGCTTGTTGCTCCATCATCCTCAGCATGTGGCATCCCCTTCATTGAGGTCCAGCCAGCCAGTCTATGTTCCAGCTAACGGGAAAATGACAAAGTCAAAGAAGGGCACACCTCCTTCATTGAAGGACCCTAAATGCAGGTTGCAGATAGTAATTTTCTATCATTAATGATTTTATATTGGTAGGCTGAGGCAGATAGATCACTTCAGGTTGGGAGTTCAAGACCAGCCTGGCCAACATGGTGAAACCCCGTCTCTACTAAAAATGCAAAACAATTAGCTGGGCCTGGTGGTATGCACCTGTAGTTTCAGCTACTCAGGAGGCTGAGGCAGGAGAATTGCTTGAACGTGGGAGGCAGAGGTCGCAGTGAGCCAAGATCATACCATTGCACTCCAGCCTAGGCAACAGAGCGAGACTCTATCTTTAAAAAAAAAAAAAAAAAAAAAAAAAAAAAAAAAAAAAAAAAAAACAAAAAAAAAAAAAAAAAAAAAAAAAAAAAAAAAAAAAAAAAAAAAAAAAAAAAAAAAAAAAAAAAAAAAAAAAAATTGCTATCATTTTATTGCCAGGACTGGTTGCATGGCCACACCTGACTTCAAAGGTGGCTGGGAACTGTAATCTTAAATCTGTAAGAATAAGGGGCACAGAATTGGGGTTTTATTACTAAGGAAATAGAGAGGCCAGAGAAAGGGGAAAAACTAGCAGTGCTCACGCTGCGCATGTTTATGGGAGGGCATTGTGACTGCTTTCCTCTATTTCTGATTCTTCTCCACTTCCCAGACACTTGCAAAGCTCCATCATCATCCCCCTTGCAGGAGGCAGCTCCATTATACTCTCTAGCAAATAAGCCAGAGAGATGGATGTCATTTCTGGGTCACAGCACATGAGAGCCCTTCGAAGCTCTCTGTATTCTTTTCCTGCCTGTGGAAATGTGTGGAAGAGGGAGGCGTAAAAGGCCAAAGCAGCATGACCTACCACATAGGGGACAGTGCCCCCTTAGAGGGCCCTACGGAGGACCACAGCAGACTTCCAGTCCTGCAGAGGGTCCTGTTGTCCTACAGAGAACTTCGTGTAATAGAGAAATACACTTTTCTATGTTAAGCCAGCAAAATTTGGTTTCAGTTGTTACTGTAGCACATCCTACCCTGTCCTGTATGATACAACATCCCTAATAAAATCCTCAGTGTAGAAAATTGTAAATCAGAACAGGCAAGGTGGCTCACATCCCCAATCCCAACACTTTTGGAGGCCAATGTGGGAGAATTGCTTGACCCTAGGAATTTGAAAGCAACCTGACAATAAAGTGAGACCCTGTCTCAAAACAGAGAAAAAGAAAATTATAAATCACAAAGGCAGACATCTATTTAATCTGCTTCCCCCACCTTATTTTTTTTTTTTTTTTTTTGAGACGGAGTTTCGCTCTTGTTACCCAGGCTGGAGTGCAATGGCGCGATCTCGGCTCACCGCAACCTCCGCCTCCTGGGTTCAGGCAATTCTCCTGCCTCAGCCTCCTGAGTAGCTGGGATTACAGGCATGCGCCACCATGCCCAGCTGATTTTTTGTATTTTTAGTAGAGATGGGGTTTCACCACGTTGACCAGGATGGTCTCGATCTCCTGACCTCGTGATCCACCCGCCTCAGCCTCCCAAAGTGCTGGGATTACAGGCATGAGCCACCGTGCCCGGCCCCCCCACCTTATTTTTATACCTTATAAGTATGCATACCTTTTTGTTTTTATATATAAGCTCATACTATATGGCCTTGTTTACAAATCACTTTTTTCATTGTATATTTAATATGCATATCTCTGTATCAATATTATCTATTTTTTTTAACTACATGGCACATTACTGTATGATTCACCACAATTTGTTTAAATAATCACCTACTAATGGACAGTTTTTTTTAATTATACTTTAAGTTCTGGGATATATGTGCAGAAAGTGCAGGTTTGTTACATAGGAATACACATGCCATGGTGGTTTGCTGCACTCATCAACCTGTCATCTACATTAGGTATTTCTCCTAATGCTATCCCTCCCCAGCCGTATTTCTTATTTTTCTATGAAAATAGAAATTAGGTTTGTGTGTGTTTGTATCTTTGCACGCTTATCCAATAATTTCCCTAAAATTGATTCTTAAACACAAGCTTATTAGATTAAAATCTATGTCTTAATTATACATGCTACCAATTTGCTGTCCAGAAAACCCAATGATTTATGTTCCCTTTAACAATATATGAGTGTTCATTTCCTACATTTTCAACACTGGATGTGATAAAACTGTTTAATGTTTAGGTATCCTTAACATCCAGGCAATAAGTTTCTTTGGTTATTAGTAATATACAGATGATTTCTAAATAAATTTGTCAACTTCATTTCCTCCTGGAGCATTTTTAACTTATGTTGTTTGCTTATTTTCCTAGAGAACCTACATCTTTTGCATGATCAAATACAGATTTTGCTTTAATATTGTCGGGGTGTTTTTTGAAGTGTAAACTGTTTTTTTCAATCCTCCTCCTTCTGTACATTTTTAATTTTTTAAACATTCAAATCTGTTCATCTCTTAACTGCATAATTTCTGGCCTTGAATTTTGGCTAGGAAACCTTTTCATATCCATGACTTATAACAATCTTTCTCTAGTCTTGAAAAACTGCTTATTAATTTTTAAATGGGGGCCGGGCACGGTGGCTCATGCCTGTAACCCCAGCACTTTGGGAGGCCATGAAAGGAGGATCACTTGAGGTCAAGAGTTCGAGACCAGCCTGGCCAACATGGTGAAATCCCATCTCTACTAGAAATACAAAAATTACCCAGGCATGGTAGTGTATACCTGTTATCCCAGCTACTCAGGGGGCTGAGGTGCAAGAATCACTTGAACCCAGGAGGTGGAGATTGCAGTGAACTGAGATCATGCCACTGCCCTCCAGCCTGTGCAGCAGAGCAAGACTCTGCCCCCCACCCCAAAAATAATAAATTTAAATGACATATTTTAAATGTTAGTTCTCTAGTATATTTCTGTTTCATCTTTATTCAATCCTAAAATTCAACTTCCAGGTAAAATGGGGTACTTTTTTCACACAGGTCACATGGTTTTCTTGTCTTCCCAAAGTGAGGGAAAAACAGGAAAAAATTTACTTAAAAAAGCATTGACATTGCAAGCTTGTAGATCAATATTTGTAGCCATAAAAGATGTGTTTCTTTTTTCTTTTTTAGAAAAGAGGAGAAAAGAACATGGCCTGTCAAGTTCAAAAAGAAAACAGAAAAAAAAACTCCCAAGAGGTAAGCAAGAAAAATAAAGTGGCTACTCCCTTGGTGTTTATCAGGGCCCTCACTTGATCAGCTGGCATGACCTCCTCTCCAGCCACATGGCCACTCACTTATGCCTGGAGCACAGCCAGCCCCAATCTCGCCCTCTAGGCCACCCCCTTACTAAACTCCCCCACAAAGGAAGAGAGAACCTAACACCAATTTGGTTCATACCTAGCCTTCTTCCCTCTTATCATAGGGAAGGAATGAGGTTGAGATGGACATGAGGCATCAGACAATTTTGAGATCAGGATTGTCTCCTGTCCAGGGTCAGAGGCCAGAAGAATAGGCTCAAGAAACCTAAATCCCCAAGCAGGATCAAACTTTCAGTTCCCAAGTGGGATTAGATTTGGAGTCATAGAGTGTTCAGAACTACCTCAGTCAACCCATGCTTGCTTATCTGCCTACATGCATGTGTCTACTCCAGTGCACAAACTGTGTTACTTGCAGAATAGGAAACAAAAAAAGCTGCATTTTTCTGGTCCCTCTGCTTCATTCCACTTTTCTTTTTCTCCTCTGTATTCTCTCTCTTCCCTTTATCTGTTTCCTTCTTTTTCCCTTTTTCTTTTTTTTCATTTATTTTTTAAATTTTTTGTAGAGACCAGGTCTTGCTATGTTGCCCAGGCTGGTCTTGAAATCCTGACCTCAAGTAATCCTCTTGCCTCAGCCTCCCAAAGTGCTGGGATATGGGTGTGAGCCACTGCACCTGGCCCCTTTTTATTTATTCTTTTACTCAAAATGATTTACCAAGGGTCTAAGATACGCCAGTCAGTGGAGATTCTCTTGGATTTTGTGCCCTTATAGGAGCCAGCCTGGGAAGGGAATCTCATCCCAGCTCCCAAACATGAATTAGGACACGAGGCTCACTGCTTTGGAAATCCCTCCAGTTTTCTGCTTGTTCCAGCATTCCTCAATCTAGGGGTTTGGCCTGGAATGGAAGTCATATCTGCATGCTTGCTCTTCTTCCTGGTCTCTTCTTCCTGGTTCCCCACCCCACTGCCTCCCTAGGCTGGAGGAAACATACTCTTTGTCATTTGCTGAGTGTTCACTACTGATGACTTATAGGAGAACTTGACATTCAGACCTTCAAGCTTTTCTTTTGATATGTACAGGTAATTTTTGGAATTTACAAATTCCTCTTTGCTCTCAACAAATACGGTGCTTCAAGATTTTGTCTCAGTTTGTCAATGGCCTCAACTGAGCGGTGGCTTTTCAGTTGTAGCCAGCATCTGCCCTTTCCCTGAAACCTATTGATGTAATAGGGAAATCTTTACTATTTGCAAGAATGAAAAATACATACTTCCTCAGCAGAAACCTTACAAGCTAGAAGGGATTGGAGTCTTATCGTTAGCCTCCTTAAACAGAATAACTCTCAGCCATGAATTTTGTATCTGGCAAAAACTAAGTTTTATGAAAGAAGGAGAAATAAAGTCATTTTCAGACAAACAAATGCTCAGGGAATTTGTCACTACCAGACCAGCTTTATAGGAAATGCCAAAAGAAGTTCTAAATCTTGAAACAAAAGATATGCACCAGAATAGAAACTTGAAAGCATAAAACTCACAAGGTCTGTAAAACAGTAACACCATGAAGAAAACAAAGTAGGTAATAATTAACATGATGACTGGAACAATATCTCACATCTTGATATTAATGTTCAACATAAATGGGCCTAAATGTTACACTTAAAAGATAGATTGGCAGAATGGATACAAAGTTGGAAACCAAATATCTGCTATCTTCAAGAGACTCACTTAACACATAAGGACTTATATAAACTCAAGGTGTAAGGGTGGAAAAAGATATTCCATGCAAATGGAAATCAAAAGCAAACATGAGTAGCTTTTCTCATATTAGATAAAATAGACTTTAAAGCAACAACAGGTAAAACAAAAAAAAGACAAAGAAGGTCATTATATAGTGATAAAAGGATCAATCCAACAGGAAGATATTACAAGCCTAAATTTATATGTAGTTAACACTGGAGCTCCCAGATTCTTAAGATACTTACTACTAAACCTAAAGAAAAGAGATAGACAATAGCACAATAATAGTGGGAAGCTTCAGTATTCTACTGTCAGCACTAGAGAGATCATTGAGACAGAAAGTCAACAAAGAAACTACGCTCTAGAACAAATGGATCTAATAGATATTTACAGAAGATTACATTCTTCTCATCAGCATATGGAATGTTCTCCAAGATAGACCATATGATAGGCCACAAAAGAAGTCTCAATAAATTTTTAGACATTGAAATTATAGGTTTGATGGGAATAGCATTGAATCTATGAATTACTTTGGGCGGCATAGCCATTTTCATTATACTGATTCTTCCTATCCATGAAGGTAGAATGTTTTTTCATTTGTTTGTGTCCTCTGTTATATCCTTGAGCAGTGATTTGTAGTTCTCCTTGAAGAGGTCATTCACATCCTCTGTTAGCTGTATTCCTAGGTATTTTATTCTCTTTGTAGTACTTGTGAATGGGAGTTCACCATGATTTGGCTCTCTGCTTGCCTATTGTTGGTGTAAAAGAATGATTGTGATTTTTGTACATTGATTTTGTATCCTGAGACTTTGCTAAAGTTGATTATCAGTTCAAGAAGTTTTTGAACTGAGATTATGGGGTTTTCTAAATATATAATTATTTCATCTACAAACAGAGACAACTTGACTTCCTCGCTTCCTATTCAAATACTCTTTATTTCTTTCTCTTGCCTGATTACCCTAGCCAGAACTTCTAATACTATGTTGAAGAGGAGTCATGAGAGAGGGCATCCTTGTCTTGTACCAGTTTTCAAAGGGGATGCTTCCAGCTTTTGCCCATTCATCATGATATTGGCTGTGAGTTTGTCATAAATAGCTGTTGTTATTTTGAGGTATGTTCTACCAGTACCTAGTTTATTGAGAGTTTTTAACATGATGGGTTGTTGAATTTTATCAAAGACCTTTTCCTCACCTATCAAGATAATCATGTAGTATTTGTCTTTGATTCTGTCTATGTGATGGATTACTCTTATTAATTTGCATATGTTGAACCAGCCTTGCATCCCAAAGATGAAACCGTTGTGATCATGGTGGATAAGTTTTTTGATGAGCTGCTGGATTTGGTTTGCCAGTATTTTATTGAGGATTTTTGTATCGATGTTCATCAGGGATATTGGCCTAAAATTTTCTTTTTTGGTGTGTCTCTTCCTAGTTTTGGTATCAGGATGATGCTGGCTTCATAAAATGAGTTAAGGAGGAGTCCCTCTTTTTCAATTGTTTGGAATAGCTTCAGAAGGAATGGTACCAGCTCCTCTTTGTATTTCTGATAAAATTCAGCTGTGAATCCGTCTGGTCCTGGACTTTTTTTTGGTTGGTAGGCTATTAATTACTGCCTCAATTTCAGAGCTTGTTATTTCTATTCAGGGATTCAAATTCTTCCTGGTTTAGTCTTGATAGGATGTATCTGTTCAGGAATTTATCCATTTATTCTAGATTTTCTAGTTTATTTGTGTAGAGGTGTTTATAGTATTCTCTGATGGTAGTTTGTATTTCTGTGGGATCATTGATTATATCCCCTTTATTATTTTTATTGTGTCTATTTCATTCTTCTCTCTCTTCTTCTTTATTAATCTGGCTAGAGGTCTATGTTGTTAAATTAAAAAAAAAAAAACTAGATTCGTTGATTTTGGAGGATTTTTCGTGTCTCTATCTCCTTCAATTCTTCTCTTGTCTTACTTATTTCCTGGAAACATATATCCCTCCTAGATTAAATGAGGAATAAATAGAAACCATAAACAGACCAGTAACAAGCAGTGAAATTGAATCAGCAATTTTTAAAATGCCAACCAAAAAGCCCAAAGCCAGATGCATTCACAGCTGAATTCTACCAGACATTCAAAGAAGAATTGGTGCCAGTACTACTGAAAGTATTCGAAAGGATTAAGAGGGAATCTTCTCTAAGTCATTCTGTGACTCCAGTATCACCCTGATGTCAAAACCAGGAAAGTACATGACAAAGAAACAACACACCAGTTGAATATAGATGCAAAAATCCTCAACAAAATGCTAGCTAACTTAATCCAGCAGCCCATCAAAAATATAATACACCATGATCAAGTAGATTTAATCCCAGGGATTTAGGGATGATTTAACACATGCAAGTCAATAAACGTGGTACATCACAAAAACAGAATTAAAAACCATAGATCATTTCAATAGATGCAGAAAAAGCATTTGATAAAATCCAGCATCCCTTTAGATAAAGATCCTCAACAAACTAGGCGTAGAAGGGACTTACCTCAAAGTTATGAAAGCCATATATGACAAACCCACAGCCAACACTTTAATAAATGTGTAAAGTCTAACGCATTTCCCCTGAGAACTGAAACAAGACAAGGATGCCCACTTTCACCACTTCTATTGAGCATAGTACTAGGTATCCTAGCCAGAACAATCAGACAAGAGAAAGGAATAAATGACACCTAAATTGGAAAAGAAGTCAAAGTATCACTGTTAACTGATGATGTGACCATATACCTAGAAAACCCTAAATACTCCTTCAGAAGACTCCTAGATTTGATAAATGAATTCAGTACAGTCTCAGGTTACAAAATCAAATGTACACAAATTAGCAGTGCTATATACCAACAGTGACCAAGCTGAGAATCAAATCGAGAATTCAATCCCTTTTACAACATCTTCAACAAAATAAAATAAAATACCTAGGAATATACTTATCCACGGAGATGAAAGATCTCTACAGAGAGAGCTACAAAACACTGCTGAAATAAATCATAGATGACACAAACATGTGGAAACACATCCCATGCTTATGGATTGGAAGAATCAACATGAAAACGATCACATTACCCAAGGCAATCTACAGATTGAATGCAATTCTTATCAAAATACCAACACTATTTTTCACAGAATTAGAAAAAAAACAGTCTTAAAATTTGTATGGAACCGAAAAAGAGCCTGCATAGCCAAAGCAATCCTAAGCAAAAAGAGCAAATCTGGAGGCATCACATTACCAGACTTAAAATTATACTACAAGGCTCTAGTTACCAAAATGGCATGATACTGTTATAAAAGTAGATAGATAGACCAATGGAACAGAACTCAAATACTTACAACCAACTGATCTTCAACAAAGCATACAAAAACATAAATTGGGGAAATGACACCCTATTTAATAAATGGTGCTGGGAAAACTGGCTAGCTACATGTAGGAGAATAAAACTGGATCCCTATTTCTCACCTTATACAAAAATCATCTCAAGATGGATCAAAAATTTAAACCTAAGACCTGAAACCAGAAAAATTCTACAAGAAAACCTAGGAAAAATTATTCTGGACCTTGGCCTAGGCAAAGAGTTTGTGACTGAGACCCCAAAATCAAATGCAACAAAAACAAATAAATAGGACTTAATTAAACTGAAAAGCTTCTTTGTAGCAAAGAAAATAATCATCAAAGTAAACAGACAGCCCACAGAATGGGAGAAAATATTTACAAATTATGTATCCAACCAAGAACTAAAATCCAGAATATACAAGAAACTCAAACATTACAGAAAAACATCAAAAAGTAGACAAATGACATAAATAGACACATCTCAAAAGCAGGTATACAAGTGGCCAACAGACATCTGAGAAAATGCCCAGCATCACTAATTATCAGGGAAATGCAAATTAAAACCACAGTGAGATACCACCTTACTCCTGTAAAAGTGACCATTATTAAAAAGTCCAAAAAAAATGGATGTTGACATGGATGTGGTGAAAAAAGAATGTTTATACATGGCTGGTGGGAGTGCAAATTAGTACAACCTCTATGGAAAATAGTATGGAGATTTCTTAAAGAACTAAAAGTAGATCTGCCATTCAATCCAGCAACCCCACTACTAGGTATCAACCCAAAGGAAAAGTAATCATATAACAAAGACACCTGTACACATATGTTTATTGCTACATAATTTACAATTGTAGAGATACAGAACTAACGTTAGTGCCCATTGACCAATGAATGTGTAAAGAAAATGCAGTATATATACATCATGGTGTGCCACTCAGCTATAAAAAAGAATGAAATAATGTCTTTTGCAGCAACTTAATTGGAGCTGGAGGCCATTATTCTAAGTGAGGTAATGGAACGGAAAGCCAAATACTGTATGTTCTCACTTATAAGTCAGAGATAAGATATTAGTACTAGAAGACATGCAGTATTAAGATATGTAATACTTGAAGTGATATAATGGATTATGGAGACTCAGGAGGAAGGGAAGAGGAAGGATTAAAAAAATGATATATCGCCGGGCGCGGTGGCTTACGCCTGTAATCCCAGCACTTTGGGAGGCCAAGGCGGGTGGATCACGAGGTCGAGAGATCGAGACCATCCTGGTCAACATAGTGAAACCCCGTCTCTACTAAAAATACAAAAAATCAGCTGGGCATGGTGGCGTGTGCCTGTAATCCCAGCTACTCAGGAGGCTGAGGCAGGAGAATTGCCTGAACCCAGGAGGCGGAGGTTGCAGTGAGCCGAGATCATGCCATTGCACTCCAGCATGGGCAACAAGAGCGAAACTCAGTCTCAAAAAAAAAAAAAAAAAGATATATTGGGTACAATGTACACTACTCAGATGAAGACCTCACTGAAGCCTCAGACTTTGCCACTATAGAATTCATCCATGTAACCAAAAACTAATTGTACCCCAAAAGCTATTGAAATAAAAAAATTTAAAAAGAAAAATACATTTAATATTTTTAAAAATGTAGTGCCCATTATACATTCATTCAGCAAGGATAGACTGAGGGTAAGATGTGGGCCAGGTATCTGTCCTAGGTCCTGGGAACTCAGCAGTGAGCAAGACAGACACAAATCCCTACACCAGTAGAGCTTGCATTCTAATTGATACACCTATAATTAATAGACAAAATGAGGACTTGAAAAAGAGAAATAGGAAGTATTGTGAATCTGGGGGAGAAGAAAGATACATACAAGAAAAGCGAAAATTGTAGAGAAATGGCAAGATAACTCCTGAAAGGGTAGGGGCTGGGAACATGAGAAGGGAGCTCACTCAACTATTCACAAGTCACTATTTGGTGCAGGGGCAACCTCACCTGGGCATGACATCCAAGAGAAGCTCCAAGTGGTGGATAAGGTGACTCAAAGGAAAGATGGCTCAGCCTGGAACTCAAAGGTCATGACGAGGGTCCAAAAGGCCAGAAAGGAATGTACCCAAAAGTCCAGATCGGAAGGTAAGGCTAATGATGGAATCTGCTATGTGAATAACTCAATGTGGGAGGGGCTCTTGGAGCATGTACAGGGCCAGATAGAGATATAAAGTCAATAGCAGAAGGAGCGAGACGTACAGACAAGAGGGACATGAAGACAGAGCACGGATCTGTTGCTGTGACAGTGGTTGTGGGAAGAAATGTTCTTGGAGTGCAGTTTGCCTTGGCTTTGCCATGTGGGTTTATGTGACCACTCCCCACAGTGTGTGCTGTTTTTATTTCTATTATTAGAGTTATCACAACTCTCTTGAGTTTGGGAGACTCCTTTCTGATTCTGGCCAACCCAGTCTTGGAAGTGGCACCAATCCTCAAAGTGGACACATTTGCAGGATTATTTTTTAATGGTTCATTTCTAGAACTGAAGTTGCTTGGTCGAGTTTGCATATTTAAATTAGCACATATTTGTTGTCAAATTGCCTAAATTATCTGTTTATACTCCCATTAACATGATATAGTACACCCTTTCCCTCCACCTTCACCAACACTAGAAATAACAAGACATTTCTATGATGACTGACAAAGGTGAAGAGTGATATTTCACTGGTGTTTCCCTTTGAATTTCTTTGCACTGGGCAGGTGATCAAATGCTGTGGTAGGTTGTATTATGGTTCTACAGTGTTCCAGGGCCCCGCCTCCTCAGAAGTTCACAGCCCTCCCCTGTGGACTCAGGAATGCCAATGTGATAACTTAGCCAAAGAAGTGTGGACTGAAGTTAGAGAGCCACTTTCAGGCCAAGGCTTTCAGAGTTTATTTGTCTTCTTTCTCTCTGCCCAAGACCAGGGATGTTCTAGACAGAGGCTGCTCTGTCTCCAGGAGCCGTGAGTGTCAGTGATGTAGGGCTGAGCCTCGTCTAATTTATGATGAAACAACAGCATGAGAGAGAAGTAAACCTTTGTTGTTGTAAATCAGAGCTTGGCAAACTGTTTCCAAAAAGGACCAGAAGATGCAGCTACTCAATTTTGCCTTTGTACATGACAGCAGCAAACAAATGGGCATGGCTGTATTCCAACAAAACTGTATTTATATAAGCAGGCAGTAGAACGATTTAGCCCTTAGACCATAGTTTGTTTTGGTTTGATTTATTTGTTTGTTTGTTTGTTTGTTTTTGAGGCAGAGTCTCGCTCTGTCACCCAGGCTGGAGTGCAGTGGCGCAATCTGGACTCACTGCAACCTCTGCCTCCTGGGTTCAAGTAGTTCCCTGCCTCAGCCTCCCTAGTAGCTGGGATTACAGGCGCCCACCACCACACCCAACTAATTTTTTGTATTTTTAGTAGAGATGGGGTTTTACCATCTTGCCCAGGCTGGTCTTGAACTCCTGACTTCATGATCCACTCACCTCAACCTCCCAAAGTGCTGGGATTATAAGCATGAGCCATCGCACCCAGCCAACCATAGTTTGCTGACACCTGTAATAAACCACTGAGATTTGGGAAGATCATGAATTACCGCAGCATTACCTAGCCCATCTTTACCAATTTCCCTGTTTGTTTTTTTTTTAATTGACATTGGAATTTTTTTCTTTCTAGGGTCACCTGTTTGAATTTGCCCATTTTTGTATAGGACTAGTCATTTTTTGTTTTATCAGTTAGGGTAATTAACCCTTTGTTATAATTATTGCAGCGTTTCTTATTTTGCTTCTGTCTTTGAACTTAAGAAGCTTTTGGTTGTGGAGCCATTTTCTTATTTAGATAGACAAATCAGTTTACCTGTAGCAGCGTGGTGTATGCCGGAGTTTCTCAATTTTGGCATTGTTGACATTTTGGACCAAATAATTATTTGCTTCGGAGGCTGTCCTGTGTGTCATGGGATGTTTGGCAACATCCCTGGCCTCTACCCATTAGATGCCAGTGGCACCTGCTTCCCAGTCCTGACAAACAAAAAGATTTCCAAACATTGCCAGATATCCCGAGAGCAGAATCACCCAGTGTTAACCACTGCTCTATGCCTGTTACTTCCCCCTTAAAAAGCCCTGCATATGTGATATTTATTGATTGATAGATTGATTGAGATAGAGTCTCACTCTATCACCCAGGCTAGAGTGCAGTGGCACCATCTCAGCTAACTGCAACCTCTGCCTCCCAGGTTCAAGCAATTCTCCTGCTTCAGCCTCCTGAGTAGCTGGGGCTACAGGTGTGCCACCACACCCAGCTAATTTTTTATTCTTAGTAGAGATGGGGTTTCACCATTTTGGCTAGGCTGGTCTCGAACTCCTGACCTCAGATAATTTGCCCATCTCGGCCTTCCAAAGTTCTGGGATTACAGGCGTGAGCCACCGTGCCTGGCCCCTCTGTGATATTTATAAGGCCGTACAGTAGCCTACCCTTATGAGTGGCTTTGTGTTCCATGATTTCAGTTACCTGAAGTCAACTGCGGTTTGAAAATATTACATGGAAAGTTCCAGAAATAAACAATTTATAAGTCAAAAATTGTGTGTTGTTCTGGGTAGCATACGAAGTCTAGCACCATCTTGCTGTATCCCACTCGGGGATGTGAATCATCCCTCTGTCCAGTGTGTCCTGCTGTATACGCAGCCTACCCATCAGTCGTTTAGTAGCTGTCTTGGTTATCGGATTGAAGAAACATAGTGTCTGCAGGACTGGGCACTACCCGTGGTTTCAGGCATCCACTGGAGGGCTTGCAACATATGCCCTGTGGATAAGGGGGGCCTCCTATACATCCCTTCATGCTAGTACTTGCAGTAAATGTATGGACATACATTAATTAGTGGAAACTTGGCTTCTGTAATATTTTTAGCTTTCCTGCAATTAACATGAGCTTGCTGTATTCCCTCAGTCAATCCTACAAGGAAGTCCTTTCATAACAGCTCATATGTAATTTGTCTCTCCAAACTGGTAGAAAAAATGGGAAAAAGTACTTTAAAGTTGTTAACATATGGGGCTTATTAATTTATGTTTGTAGCTATAAGTGATTATTCTGTTTTTAGAAAAGAAAAGGGAAAAAGATATCTGTTCAAGTTCAAAAAGGAGACTTCAGAAAAACATTCACCGAAGAAGTAAGTAAGCAAGCCGCAACACCTCCCCCTTGGGCTCCCCAGAGCCTTGGCCGCTGCTGAAGGCTCCACCCACCTTCCCCTTCTCCTCTCTCCTTTCTTCCACTGTCCTTGTCCTTCTCCGCTGAGGTTGTTCTCCACCCTCATGGGTACCAGCTGAATTTGGGCACATCCGGAGTGCTGCCAGCCTAACCCACCGCCTTGTGCCTGGTGGCTATTTCCATACTTGGAAGGATTCTTTAACACAGAGCTATACAAAGACCCAGAAATGATTAAGGATGATCACTAAGCCCACAAGTCAAGTTCTAAAATAAACTTCTACATCCTCCATTAAGTTAAAAGAAGTCCTTATCCAAGCACAGCCTGACAGTGTTCTCACTCCTTTGCCTGCGTTGTTTGGGAACCTGCGCTTGCTTCAGCCTCTCTGCACCCTCAGGCCTCTTTGCATCTCTGTCCTCTCCCTCCTGCCCCTCTTCTTGCATTCATTTCTCTTCTGCTTTTATACCTCACTTCTTCAGCAGCATTTCTTGTCACCCTCTCTCCCTTTGCAGCCACATTGGCCCGTTTTATTCATTATTGAAGTATAATAGGTGCTATCCAAGGTGGGGTCCCCAGACTGGTACCTTCTACAAGCCTGTTGGTTGCAGGTCTACAAGAATAAGGAGCGTGTAAACCAACTGTGCTGCTAAGCACACTGTTTTCATAGCAAGGCTCCTCAGTGGAGACAGCAGCGCCTTGATTCTGATCAAGCCCCTGTCGCATCGTAGGTTGGAGCATTGAGTAGCACTGGTGTGTGTGCTTACAGAAAATGCATGGATCCTAAGAGTACAGCTTGGTGGATTCACACACCCAGAAAAAGCACCCACATACCCAGCACCCAGCTCAAGACACAGGATATCACCAACTCCCATAAACTACCCCCTACCCACGTCCCTAAGTTTACACCAGCCTGATTCCTCACAGCATCAGTCATTAGACACTGAATGTTCCTCCCTCCTTCCTGCTCAGGGCCTCCTCACATAGGCCTTCCCACTCACCCACCCCACCCCAAAGCTAATCCCCCTATCCTTCTCCCTCTCTTTGCTATATACCCTCAGATCTCATCTTTAAAAAAAAAAATTATTTTAAGTTCCAGGATACATGTGAAGGATGAGTAGGTTGTTACACAGATAAATGTGTGCCATGGTGATTTGCTGCACCTATCAGCCAATCCTTTAGGTATTAAGCCCAGCATGCATTAGCTATTTATCCTGGTGCTCTCCCTCCTGCTCCTCCAACAGGCCCCAGTGTGTGCTGTTCCCCTCCCTGTGTCCATGTGTTCTCGTTGTTCAACTCCCACCTATAAGTGAGAACATGCGGTGTGTAGTTTTCTGTTCCTGCATTAGTTTGCTGAGGATAATGGCTTCCAGCTCTATCTATGCCCCTGCAAAGGACATGATTTTGTTCCTTTTTATGGCTTCATAGTATTCCATGGTGTATATGTACAACATATTCTTTATCTAGTCTATAATTAATGGATATTTAGGTTGAGTCCATGTCTTTGCTATTGTGAATAGTGCTGCAGTGAACATACACATGCATGTATCTTTATAATAGAATGATTTCTATTCCTTTGGGTATATACCCACTAATGGGATTGCTTGCTGGGCCAAATGGTATTTCTGTTTCTAGGTCTTTGAGGAATTGCTACGAGGTCTTTCACAATGGTTGAACTAATTTACATTCCCACGAACAGTGTAGAAGTGTTCCTATTTCTCCACAGCCTCGTCAGCATTTGTTGTTTCTTAACTTTTTAATAATGGCCGTTCTGACTGGCGAGAGATGGTATCTCATTGTGGTTTTGATTCGAATTTCTCTAATGCTCAGTAATGCGGAGCTTTTTTTCCATGTGTTTGTCAGCCACATAAACGTCTTCTTTTGAGAAGTGTCTGTTCATGTCCTTTGCCCACTTTTTAAAGGGGTGGGTTGTTTTTTTCTTGTAAATTTAAGTTCCTTGTGTATTCTGGATATTAGATCTCTGCCCTCAGACTTCACCTTAAATGTCACTTCCACAGGGAAGCATCCTCTGTCCCGCAGGCAGGACAGAGGTAGGTCTCCCTGACATGCCCTTGTGGAGACCTGCATTTTGTCTTCATGGTGCTTATCTCAACTGTAATAAATCATCTGTGCACAGCCTGTTCACTGCATGAAAGTCACATGAGGTCAGTAAGTGAATGGGTCTTGCTCATTGCTGTATGTCCAGCTCCCATGCCTCACACAGTTGTACTTCTTCACCAAGCATGAATACCAGTACCTGGACCCATCTGATTCATGCTGGGTTAGAAAAAGGTGCCCCTTCCTCAATTCACTACCTCATCTGTCAGAGCCAATTCTTGAAAACAAACCCTTCTCTGCCCTCTGCTGGAAGATTGTTGTACTAAGCATGTAACCTGATTTTGTTTCTAATATGAATCAAAGCACCCCTTAAAGGTAGCGTCCTTGCTCAGTGCACAACCCATACAACCTTATGCAGAGTCCTTGATAACCATATAAAAATATACATTACTTCACAGTTGGCAAAGCACTTTGATCTACATTTTGCCATTTAATTCCCATAATAAGTGAGTGTTATCAGCCCATCTTATGAAAGGGTGAAAGCCTTGAATGAGCTAAAATCAACCTGTGTGTTCCAATTTCAAGCCCTTTTTTCTTTACACTAAAAAGTAGATGAACCCAGAAGGCACCTAGTCTTTTTATGGAAGACTGGTGGAGGCAGCAGCCCTGCAAATGTTGACAGTTGTCCCTCAGCATCAGCTTCTTCTGTCTGTAACTTCTCACTAAACGCAGGGTGTCTGTGCGGTTGTTGCTTGTATGATGTGGAGTCTCACGGCATTCCTAATGATGTGGAAAGAGCACTAGATACAGAGTCTGGCATATCTAAATTCCAGTGCCAGCTCCACCCCATGTAGTGTGGTGACCACCAGCAATTCCTCTCCATATCTGAGCCCAAGTCCCTCATCTATAAAATGGGGACAGTCATTGCCTTCTTGTTCTTACATGTTGTTGTGAGGATAGATGGCATAGCACACCTGCTGCTCTTACTATTTCCTTGACTATCACTTTTCCTCCCGGCACCCCGTCTCCACCCCCACCATCCCCTCCCCAGACCCCTCGTTTATACATCATAGAGCTCCCAAATCGCTCCCCAGGCCTGTGGTCTTTCCATGCATCACTTCCATCGTGTGCTTCTTCCCTACTCTCTGTAGGAATTCCTGGAGTTAGTCTTCTGGATTATGAATTTGTTTTTTGCCATGCTGCTATTCCTCGTCTCCATTAGGCTTTTCTTCTTAATTTTCTCCATTGTGCTTTTCCCTTCCCTGAGCTCTCTGTTCTCTAATGGCTTGCTTTTCACAGCAGGCTCCTCATTGTCTGCTCACACTTCCTCATGGGGATCTGAATCCACCGCTGCTGCAGGGCTCCATCCCTTAAGGCCTGGTTGCTGAAATGAGTAGGTGAGACTGAGCCAAACTCAGAACTACTGGGAACAGACCAGAAGGCTGCCCTCAGGCATAGGGCAGTTGGCTTTGGAAGTCTAAAGGCCCCACCTCACTTGATGACCTGCCTCCACTGGAGGAGGGGACTGATGCTTCTGTCCATGACTCTGCACGTCAGCTTGCTACCTGTGGCCCCCAAAGCCACCCCCTGCTCCGTCATCTGCTTGCAAATGCTTTGGGGACATTCATGTTCCCTAAATCTATATTCACTACAGGGGATTAGAGAAGACATTTCTGTGGAGACAGAGAACTGTAGAAGGTCCCCATAGCTGTGCTAATCTCCCTCGAGGTTTGCAGTAGTGGCCCAGAGTCAATTGGAGCTCTGCCTTTCACTCACATTAGGAACCTGCAAATTCCCCGCTCAAATTTGATAACAGTAATGCACACTTAGGTAATCCTTCTAGTAAGTTGCAGAGCCAGAATTACAAGCCCCTCCCACCCACACCCCTCCTCACCCCATGAGTCTGGCTCCTGAGGCCATGCTCTCATCTGCTGTGCCATATTTACCGAGTAGAGTCTAGAGACAAATGGTGGAGCTGGCCACTCCATGCTAGAGGACTGGCTGTTGAAGCCAAGTTTTTCCCACCCTAAGTTCCCACACCCCTACCCTCCACTCCCATGCCTGGCCTTGCTGCCAGCCCCGGCTCCTATGAGGCTGGGCATCCTGTGGGACTCTTTGGGGGGTCACATGCTCACCTCTCAGGGGTCCCTCCTCTCTCAGTCTGACTGTCTGCCTTGTATCTTGCCAGAGAAATGAATGGCTTCTTCACCACTGATTCTGTTCCTTCCTCTTTCCATCAATGTTCTTGTTTTGTCATTTGTTTTCCTTTAGCTCTTTCAATAACTGTTTGAGGCGAGGGAGAGAGTTGGACCAGATGTTCTCCTAGACTCACTTTAGGTGTAACATCCTCTGTAACTCAACATAAGACACAGACAGCCCCTTCATTTCTCCCCAGAGAAACAGTCCCTGCTGTCTCTGTTTCATGAATTCACCCACAGTGAGGTTGGAGGAGAAGGCAGCAGGAATTACTGATATTCATTTTAAAACCTCTTACAACTGCTTCTCCTGAATCTAAACCCCTGATTTCTACCCAGGGGTTCTGGGTTGCCAGACCTCTCCATGAGCAACTGGGAAATTAGTTCAGTGCTCTCCAGGGTTTTCTTTTATTCCTCGAGGAAGCAACAGGGAAGCACTAGAATGAAAAGAAACAGCAAATAATGAAGACTGACACCATCCCCTCAGCGCCAGCCACCTCACTCGCCCAAGTCTTCATTTGAATCAGGAAATTAGATCATAAGTGAAGATTTTTTCCCCCTCTGGCAAAATGAATGCAAAGAAATATTTTAGTAGGCAACTTCCATCAGCACAGAGAGATCAACATGATGCTTGTAGAAGAGATGCTGATTAGGTGATGCACGTCAGCTTGCAAATTGAGACACATTCACTGAAGAAGCCCTGTATGTTCTACTGAAATGTTCTGTTTGCTGTAGGGTTGGTGGCGGTGGTGGTGGTGATTTATTGCAGGTCGCCGTGTATACATAGCTTATCTGCCACTCGAGATGGAAGATTTCCTGCAAACTAACCAGGAAATGTTCCCCAAAACCCTGTGCACGATTGGAATTCATGGAGGGGAGAATCCAAACGGAAGATGGAATGAAGACTGAATAATACCAAACGGTTCTCTTCTACTTTCAGAAAAACCCAAAAGTGACACTGTGGATTTTCACTGGTCTGAGCTCTTTGTGACCTGTGGTGAGGCAAAAGGGATTTTATATAAGGAGAAAATGAAACACGGTGAGTTCCTTGGTCTTCTGCTCTTTGGAATCCCTAGATGAAGCAATCACTAGAAGGGAGGAAAATACCTGTGTGTATAATTGATTAGGAAATGGACCTGCTAGCTAGACTGCAGAAGAAGAAACACCTCCTTGGAGGGAATTTCCAAACCCTTCCACATCATGATATTTCCGGCAACCAGACCATTCCACTCCCACCTAGAAGTCACCTATGGACGCTGCAGTAGTGACAGCCATGTCCTTGCTGCATGTAGGTACCACATGAATGCAAATTCTTTCCCACCCCCTCACCTCTCAGTCAGGCTTTAGGGCTGCCTTCAGTCTAAGAGAAGAGGCATCCAGACTCCCCTGCTACTATTTCTACCTCACAGAGGAAGTCTCGCTTGGCCCAGAAAGGTAGAAGGCCACAATTAGGAATTCAGAGGTTTGGGGTGAATTCACAGAGGATGGGGGTAGATCCAAAAACGGGCTGTCTTTTTCTTACAGGATCCTCAACGAAGTGCATTCAGAATGAGAAGGGAGCTTGGCTCACACCAAAAGAATTTGAAATTGAAGGAAAAGGAAGAGACACAAAGAACTGGAAACGGAGTATATGTTACGGAGGAAAGCCCCTGTTAGAGCTGCTGAAGGTAGTATCGTGACAAGGGACAGATAGGTGACGGGTTTAAATCCTTGAAGGAGAAGTGGAACTTTTAACAGCAGAAATGTGAAGAGCTCCCATTAGGATTCAACAGCATGATTTATAAGGAGCTAAATGTTCAAAATATGGGTGACAAAGTTAGGGGCACAGATTGTTCCCGATGGTGGAGAACTTTAAATGCAGGCAAAGGGGTCTGAGGTCAAGAGAGATGTAAGAAGCTAAAAATAAACTAGCTGAAAGATGCCTGCAACCACTCCCCTGCATCCTCTACCTGACACCTACTCAAGGCCCAGCTCATCTGGGCGCCCTGACATTTCCAGGCCCCCCAGTCCATGGTCCATCTCTCCTCTGCATGTCCACAGCCCACTATTCCTGTCCTGAGAATGACTAGGCTTTGTGAGACCAGGACCCAACACAAGGCGTCTCAGTGACACTCAAGAAATTATCACTAGAATGAAGTCATAAAGATTTTATCTAGAGAGGAAGAAATGGAAAGAGAAAAGAATGGATGGGAAAGGGACTAAGAAAGAAGAACTTGGCTCGTGGGTTTGAGTAACGGGACACAAATGATTTTATCACTAAGTGAAGTCCAAAGGAAAAGCTGACTGTGAGAGGGAGCTAATTTTTCTTTTGGACGCCTTGGGTTTGAGATCCACTGTGATATCCGGGTACAGATATTCACTAGGAAGTGGGAAGGCCAGTATCTACAAAAAAAAAAAAAACCTCCAGAATAACCTCATTCATTGACTCCTTCTGTCTTTCAGAATGGACTTTTGCTCTGTCCTCCAGGAATAAATCTCAAGAGAGACTTAAATAGCAAGTGAATTTCTGCTACACTGTCAGTCACCATCTTGCAGACTTTCCCTGTATGGAGGCTCAGTAAGAGCTTCTGAGTTTCCCAGCTCTGAGTCACCTCCACATGTGGGCACAGCATCTTCAAAATCATAATTTTCATAGTTAATTTGGGATGGGGAAGCAAATGACTCTAAAATAAAAATTAGATGAAAAAGCTCATCATGTCCATGTGTTTTAGAAAAAGATTTGGATATTTGGATTGCTATAAACCAAAGGTGTCAGAAATACAATGCTCTGAGCCTAGGCAACCTAGCAAGACCCCATCTCTAGCAAATTTTTTTTAATCAGCCAGGAATGGTGGTGTGCATCTGTAGTCCCAGGTTAGGCTGAGGTAGGAGAATTGCTTGAGCCCAGGAGTTCAAGACCAGCCTGAGTGATATAGTGAGACTCTGTGTCGCTATACAATGCGATGTAATCCCAGCACTCTGGGAGACCAAGGTGGGTGGATCCCTTGAGCCCAGGAGTTTGAGACCAGCTTGGGCAACATGGAAAAACCCCTTCTTTACAAAATATACAAAAATTAGCCAGGCATGGTGGCATGTACCTGCAGTCCCAGCTACTCAGGAGGCTGAGGCGGGAGGATCACTTGAGCTCTGGAAGCAGAGGTTGCTGTGAGGTGAGATCGTGCCACTGCACTCCAGCTGGGGCAACAGAACATGAAAAGCAAAAAAAAAAAAAAGAAAAAAGGCATTGAGATAGACAGGAACAGCATATGAAAGAAAAAGAGGGTCCTCTATGATCACACACTAAGTATGGCTGAAGGTTCCATGCTTATTGTTGGTAGCACCAGGATGGAATGACACCTTTAAACTGAGTTTTGTCTCTGCAGGGCCTCCCTACAGGTGGAACGGCAGCCATCTATTGGCTGAACTAACTCCCCCTCCTCAACCTCCTCTACTTGATTAGATATGTTCTGCAGACATCAGTTCCACTCGTGAGCTTCCCATTAGATGGGAACTTCCAACAAGAATATGCTTCTCTAATATTGCCCTGGAAGCTGGCCTGACCAGGCTGGATTCATTCAAAGTTTAAGGCACTGGTCTCCCAATGCCATTAGACAAATCATCTTTCCCGTGCTTATTTGAAATACCCTGAGATTCAGGGTGATTGCTCAGTGTAACATCATAATAGCAAAAAATTAGGGAGGAACACAAGTTCTATCAGTATTGTAGAATGAGCTGATAACAGCTACAGAATGCTTTTGTAAAAGCCTTTCTTATAGAATATTAGACCTTTGATATAGACATGTGTACATGGATGCATAAGTATGGAGTTATCATTCAATCAATGGAAAAACCACCAAAGGGTTTTGGGGTCAGGAGAGCTTCAGGATATTTACGGTAGGAGTGACGTGTGGGGAAGGAACCCATTGCTGCTTATGTGAATGCGTAGATAGGTCTATGAGTGAAAAAATAGCCGAAAGAATCAACCTCACTTATTTTGAGATGAGATCACAGGGACATTTGCCTTCTGTGTTATACATTTATGTACAGTTGGAATTACAATGACCATTTATTACTTTTGCAACCGGAAGAAAAAAGGTCTTTAAAAATCCAGATCATTCATTAATAGCCCCAACAGAATAATATCCTCTAGCTCTCCTAATGCCGCGTGTCAGCACTTAATAGCCAGGGGCATGTTTGACCCAGCCTTTCAGTCCCACCTTCCGGGGCCAGGTTGGGAGAAGAAGATGAAGGTTTATCCGACTGAGAATGGGCCAATGCAGGCCTTGCCCTCAGCCCCGTCACCCAGCATGACTACTGCTCTGCAGCACCTCTGTCTCCACTGCAGTGTCACTTGTGAATGTGTACAACAAACAGACCAATGCTGGCACTCCTAAAGTGTGCTTTGTGGTCACCTGCAGGGTGCTGCCTCCATGGCCCACACATGATAGACAGCTGGTGCAAAGAGCCACAGGCTTGGCCTGTGAGAGCCTCCATCTCCAGAAGGGCCTGGATGTAGCCAGCAGCTGCCACTCAAATGGCATATAGTGTGGGGCTGAGGAGAAGCTTTTGGGGTTCTTTTTTTAATACCAGAAGTGCATGGCCGTCATGGGTGGTCCAGAGATGCTAGGAGGTGTGAGAATAGGTAGCCAAAGTCACCAGACTCTGGAGGGCACTAATGGGAAAGCCTGCTGTATCGCAATTTGACAGATTCTAAAACCTTTTGTTAGAAGGAGCCCCATTCAAAGTGGGCCTGTTTGCAAGTAACAGCATAAATGGGCTTATCTAACTATGAGGGATGCATTTCCTCCAGAACTCAAGAGGCCCAAAGGATACTTGGAGGCTGGTTAGAACACTGCGAGCACTTAAGGATCAATAATTATTTTTTGACAGTGTCAGGGATGGAGCATCCCTTGACTCACCAGATAATGCCCAGATGGTGGCGGACCCCTGTACCATGTCTGGGACAGTGGTCCATGCTTTTTTGTTTTATTTTAATTCCACATCCATGCAGAAACTCAAACCCCATCTTTTTCTGTGAGCTCCTTGTGAGTAATGTCCTGAGTGTGTCAAATGAATCTGCTGAGAGAAGGGTGTCTTCAGGGTGATGTTATGCCTGTGCTCCTAGAGAGTGTCAGATGCAGTTCAAATCCTGCCTGCAAAGATTGCCTATGGTGGAGGTACCTGTCAAGGTACCCTGTGGTAGCCAGGTAACGGTCTATTGTGTCCCTTCAGGAGTGAAAGCAACCCACAGCTGAGATGCTGTTGAAATAGACACCGAACAGAACACATTAGTCAAATCTGTGCCTGCAGAGTATTTACCAGTTGCTAAGTGGATGGAATCAGTAATTTCAATAACATTGGGCCTTCGCAGGTGGGGTCACGGCATTCAGGTTGCAGTAATTCACTGTGAGGCATCATTCATTCTTTCCAAGTTTAAGAACAGACCAAACTGGGCTTTTGAATGGAGAAACGGTGGGAATAGTCACCCCGTCTCTACACAAATCTTCTATAATGAGTTTCAGTCCTTGAAAGTTCATTTTAATTCATATTGATCAGTATAAAATATTTTAACAGAGGTCCTTGGAGTTTCATTTTGTAAAGCTGATTGTAGGTGCCAAAGATAACTTAATTTTAGTTATTTTAATTTGTTATTTACTGGGTCACAGCATCCATGCCCACTATGGAACATTCTAGAGCCATATTATGTCACAACCATGGGGCAGTTAGGCAAGGCACCAGGAACAAGCATTCCTACACTCCTGCGCCGACATGCCAGCTATCATGGTATCTTACTTTGGTCGGTTAGATCTATTAACAGAGGTTTGGTGTGGCTCAGCGAATGCTGCCCCAAGTGGCTCAGCTCAAAGCACAAGCTTGCCAGCAGGCAGCAACACAGCTCAAAACGCGGCAGAACCCGTTAGCAAGCCACAGCCAGAGAATAAAAGCCCTTTCTTGGTGTTGGTGGTGTTGGTGCTCACCACCCAGACGCTCAGCTTGTTGTGCCAATTGTCTTGCAGTTTCCCCCAGGGAGGTGGCATCAGCGCCCCCCACCCAAAATTGGGTTTGGGTATTCGCTCTAACACACACAAAAATGACATGCTCTAGAAACCCATAGGGTCAGCATTTGTGGGTCTCCACCATCCTAGCGGTGCCCACGTTATCTGCCCTTGCAGTGGAAAAAGTCGGATGAATGCGAGGTGTGCTGTAAAGAGGGACAACTTCTCTGCTGCGGTACTTGTCCACGAGCCTTCCATGAGGACTGTCACATCCCCCCTGTGGAAGCCAAGAGGTGAGTGGGATGCAGCCATGCCTCGGCACACAGCACTCACCTCCAGAGGGAAGGGCAGGACCTGTGAGTGTCTGGGACAACCGTATGACAGAGGGTAATCTGGTGTCAGAGACTCTGGGCCTCTCTGCGTCTCTGAGGCTGCCAGTGAGACTCTTGACCCCACACTTCCCCTGCCCCTGGAGGTGCCCTTTCCTGGGTTGCTATTCCTTGGATAGTAGGGACTCCTGTCCAAGGGGAGTTGGGGACAGGAAAAGCCAGCTTATGTTCCGTGCCTACTCAGAAAAGACAGGAAGCACGGCTTGTCACACATTTCACCATAGTCTCATCCTGCTGATGGAGGCCTGAGGTCCCTGCAGGTGAAAGCCCAGATTTTGACACTCAAGCCTGGCAGGCAGGGTTCCTTTGTGCCTGCCACAAAGGAAGAGAAGAGAGCACACACTCACGGTGACGCCACCTTCCTCAGCCTGGCCACCTGCGCTTACCACTGATGCGAGGGAAGGGTCAATGCTGGAGACCCCATATGGGGCTCTTGGACACTCTGGGAGGTGTCCCGCCCTCATGGCTGAGCCCATCCTTCCTGAGGGAGGACAGTGGCAGCCACAGGAATGGTGGCCATTTCCAGGAGCACTGCCCTCTGCTCACCTTATGTCCAACCTCTCAGGACCCCCTGGAGCTGCACCTTCTGCAGGATGAAGAGGTCTTCTGGAAGCCAGCAGGGCCATCATGTATCTAAGATCCTGGAGAGGCAGATGCAGCCTCCAGAACAGTTGGTGAGTTGGATGCAAACCCCAAACCTATGCCTTTTCCTGCTCACACGAGAAGCACAAACAGGCACAGGTTCAGGGCAGTGCACCAATGGGAGGCACAGGTTCAGGGCAGTGCACCAATGGGAGGCACAGGTTCAGGGCAGTGCACCAATGGGAGGCACAGGTTCAGGGCAGTGCACCAATGGGAGCCTTGAATGTCTCCCTTTAGAGGATGATGATTTAATGCCCAAACACAGAGTCCAAACAAAATCCCACACACCCCGTGGGCCTCGGTAAGCATGGCGGGAATGCTGACTGCCCCTGGCTGCCCCATCCGTGCACATGTCTAGGCACTGGCCTGACTTCACTGTTGCTGCGTTTCACTCTCAAGCCCTCTTCATGTTTTACAGAAATGTGAGTTCCTCCTTTTGAAGGCCTACTGTCATCCACAAAGCTCCTTTTTTACTGCCATCCCACTTAATGTAAGTCACATTTTATGGTTCTCTTGCATAAAATGCATTTTGAGAAATTGAGGGGCTGAATCTGGCAGATGCTGCAGTTTGCTCAGGAAGCTGGTGAGCAGGAGAGAAGGCCAGCATGGCAGCAGTGGGGCAGGGCAGCAGGGCATTTAGCAGGGGGTTAGCTGGAGAGGGACTGCCTGGTTCAAACTCCACCCCACCGTGCACAGGCGCTGAGATACCTGGCGAGCTGCTTCCCCTCCTATGTATCCATTTCATCTTCTCTTTAGGAGGAATGTCTTTCCTACTAGGGATTAAGAGTCACAGGTGCCCGCTGGGCCCAGCGGCTCACACCTGTAATCCCAGCACTTTGGGAGGCTGAGGTGGGAAGATCACCTGAGGTTAGGAGTTCGAGACCAGTCTGGCCAACATGGTGAAACCCCATCTCTACTAAAAATACGAAAATTATCCAGGCCTGGTGACAGGCACCTATAATCTCAACTACTCCGGAGGCTGAGGGAGGAGAATCACTTTGACCTGGGAGGCAGAGGTTGCAGTGAGCCAAGATTGTGCCACTGCACTCCAACCTGGGTGACAGAGTGAGACTCCATCTCAAAAAAAAAAGTCACAGATGCCAAACTGTGTGGGTTCCCATCCCAGCTGTACCACTTTCTAGCTGAGACATCTTGGGTAAGTTCCTTGACCTCCCCATCCCTTGGCTTCCTCATCTATGAAATGGGCATCATTATTTATGGTTCCCATAAATGTGGAGATTACATATTCATATACTTGGCTTAGAATGTAGTTTATATAGTGCCTAGAACAATGGCTGACCTAAAGAGGTCAGATGATATTATTATTGTTATCCTGGAAATAAAGGCTTGGATTGTATTTAAGCTGGATCCGCTCCAGTGATGACAGCCATGCTAACGTCACCTCTGTGGTGGCTTTGTCCCCAGATTCGAGATTATGGTGAGCCCTTTCAGGAAGCGATGTGGTTGGACCTGGTTAAGGAAAGGCTGATTACGGAAATGTACACGGTGGCATGGTTTGTGCGAGACATGCGCCTGATCTTTCACAACCATAAAACATTCTACAAGGTAAAGGGCATTTCCTGCTTCCTTCCTCATCTTTTCTACTTTCCTCTAATTTCTGGGACAGTGGAACTTTGCAAGAATTACATCCAGTTTCATCCTGGGGAGATCTCACACAAGACAAGGATTACAGAAAAAAAAAAAAAAACAAAAACAAAAACACCTCGGCATTCCTGGAGGCAAGGGGTGAGGGGCAAAAAGAAAAGCAAGCAGGACAGGGAAGGGATCCCGGAACAGCAGCTGAAAAAACCATGCTCCGTTCCCAGATCAGCAGCCCGCTCCTACCTAGAGCGGTAAACGGCATCCGGCCTCTTTGTTCAAACTGGAAGGAAAGGCAGTTTATACTTACATTGTTCTTCCTGTCTCAGAAATATGAAAATCAGTAAGGAAACAAAACAGAATCAATTAAACTTCCTGGATACTCAGGCTTGCATTTTTTTACACATAAACTTCTCATTGGACTCAAACATCTGGAATTGCCTTCCAATACAGTGTTAGTTTCACCCTCCTTTATGAGGGAGGGACAGCTAGTTGAGCTATCTTGCAATCCAAGACATTTTTAACTTTGGTTTGCCCTAATTTTTATCCTCACTTGTACAGAAATGTTTTGGGAGGTACCTAAGGAAGATTTTCATCTCTGCCCAGCTTCCCTCCCTTCTTCCATGCCGGGAGCTGGCATGTTCACAAACCACACATTGTAAACAGGTACCCACTCATGGAGCTGGAGGGAGAAAGGGTTGGCTCAGAGAGCTGCTCAGTGTCTGGCATATCCTTAGCCCTGGAGAACAGAGGGTCATCCTTCCTCAGCGAGTGGGCTTTCAAGAAATGCTTTTCTAAATTTGTTTAAGCTATTTTGCACCATGCTCAGACTTGCAATGATCAAAACCAACCCTTCAGTCCAGATCACCCGTCAGGTGGAAGTTAACCACCAGGTAGAGTCTCATGCTTCTTGATATTTTAGTAGCAGCATCTCCCCATCCATTCTGCCTGACTGCTGGGGCTCCTAAAAATATATGAGTGAGGCTGGGTGCAGTGACTGACACCTATAATCCAAGCTTTTTGGGAGTCCAAGTGGAGATGTTCGCCAGAGGCCAGGAGTTGGAGACCAGCCTGAGCAATGTAGCAAGACCTCCTCACCCCGATCTGGGGAAAAAAAAAAAAAGAAATGTTTTCAAAAGCTGGGCATAGTGGCGTGTGCCTACAGTTTCAGCTACCCAGGAGGCTGAATTGAGAGGATCACCTGAGCCCAGGAGCTCAAGACTGCAGTGAGCTGTGATGATGCCACTGTACCACAGCCTGAGTGACAAAGACCCTGACTCAAAAACAAAAAAGCAAAAAACAGAAAAAAAATGTATGAACGATTTGATGGCTGTTATCCTTCTTCCTTAAACATATTTGTTTGCTTTTTTCTCTTTCAGGCTTCTGCCTTTGGCCAGGTAGGGCTTGACTTAGAGGCAGAATTTGAAAAAGATCTCAAAGATGTATTCGGTTTTCATGAAGCCAATGACAGCAGTTTCCGGACTCCTCCTTGAACCTGTTCCGGAAAGGCTGAAGCATCTCAACCTCAGGATCCAGCTGATGAGGCCCTGGCCTGGACTGTTGATCACCAGTGAGCCTGGGATGTAACTGGCTGCCCTCAGGACCCAAACCCAGACCCTTCAAAGGATTATCACACCCTCCACCACCTTTATTCTTTCTCTTTGCCTTTGAAAGGCTATATCTACACTTAAAAAGAAATTAGTACTTCCTTAACACCATCAGATACCCCATCAGAGTTCATATTCTCCCCACTGTCTCATAAGTCTTTTTAGACTTGATTTGTTCAAATCAGGATCTAAACAAGCTTCACACATTGCATTTGGCTCACCTGTCCCTATGTCTTATTTTAAGCTATAAATTGCCATGTATTTATTGAAGAACTCAGGGTTTTTGTCCTATTAAATTTTTAGAGTCTTCTGGTTGCATTTTCTTAGTGGTACATTCCTCTCTTCCTCTCATTTTTTGTAAACAAAGTTAGATCTAGAAGCTTGCTCAAACTCAGGTTTTGAGGGTTTTGTTTTGATTTGCAGGGGGGTTTGGCACACAGGCGTCACAGGGGGAATTTAGTATTATTTTTATGTTAAGTTTGGCAGCAGGTGCAGGTATTATCAGCCTGGTCATTTATCACCTGATGGTTTTAGCAATACCTAAATCCATGATATCGTTAGGGGTTGCAAAATGATGACATTCAGACTTTATTTTTTTACCTCATTATTAGTCAGAATTCTTCTGCAAAGAGCTTCTCTTTTACAATATTTGGGGCCAGGAGCAGTGGCTCATGCCTGTAATCCCAGCACTTTGGGAGGCCGAGGTGGGCAGATCACAAGGTCAAGAGATGGAGACCATCCTGGCCAACATAGTGAAGCCCTGCCTCTACTAAAAAATACAAAAATTAGCTGGGTGTGGTGGCGCATTAACTGTAGGCCCGGCTACTTGGGAGGCTGAGGCAGGAGAATCACTTGATCATGGGAGGCAGAGGTTGCAGGGAGCCAAGATTGCGCCACTGCACTCCAGCCTGGCAACAGAGCGAGACTCCATCTCAAAAAAAGAAAAAAAGAAAAGAAAAGGAACAATATTTGGTTACCTTGAAATACAGGTTGTACAAAAGATAGGATAAATGCTTTTTATTATTATTATTATTTTGCAATGTTCAAAATAATGAATTGATTTCCTAATATCCTCTAAAGGTGACCAGGGATTTTTTTTAATTATCTTGAACCTACATATTTAAATGCTAATACCTTTATTGATGCTTGAGTTGCCCACTTTTTTTTTTTTTTTTGAGACAGAGCCTTGCTCTGTCACCCATCCTGGAGTGCAGTGGCATGATCTCAGCTCAGTGCAACCTCCTCCTCCTGGGGGCAAGCAATTCTCCTGCCTCAGCCTCCTGAGTAGCTGGGATTACAGGCATGCATGAGTTGCCCGCTTTTAGTGAAAATCTCCTCAATTTGATTCCTGAGTTGTTTTGAAATGACCCCAGCATAATTTGATGGTGTATTAGCTATCTACTGCTTTGTAACAAATAACTTCAAAGCTTAGCTGTTTAAAAGAAAGAAACATTTTATTGCTCACTATTCTGTGGGTCAGGAATTCAGGCAGCATCCATGGGGACTGTTACCTTTGTTCCACATGGTATTGACAGATCCTATTTATACTTGCTCAGTGTCACTTTTGCCACATTCTGTTGGTCAAAGCAAGTCACAGGGCCAGCCTCAGAACAAGAAAGAATTGATCCTAACTCTTGATGGAATGAGTGGCAATGTCACATTTCAAAGGAGAATGTTGCTTGGGAAGAAACATCGTTGCTTTCATCTTTAGAAGCAATCTACCATAGTTCACCCTCTGGCCACAGTAGTTCACATCTTTCCCATATACAAAAGACAATTCTCTCCCGGCAGAAGTCTGACTGTCTGCAATACTGGAACAAAGTCTAGGACCTCATTATCTAAATCAGGTTCAGATCAGATTAAGCTTCTTGGGGCTGGTCACAGTGGCTCACACCTGAAATCCCAGCACTTTAGGAAGCCGAGGCAGATGGACCACTTGAGTCCAGGAGTTCAAGACCAGCCTGGGCAACAGGGCAAAACCTCATGTCTACAAAATATGTTTTTAAAATTAGCTGGGTGGCTCAGGTGGAAGGATGAGTCACAGTAAGGCAAAAATGCAGCACTACAATCCAGCCTGGGCCACAAGAAAGAGAGAGAGAGGAGAGAGAGAGAGAGAGAGAAGAGAGAGAGAAAGAAAGAGGAAGGAAGAAAGAAAAAAGAGAGGCAGGGAGGAAAGGAAAGGAAGAAAGAGGGAGGAAGAAAGAAAAAGAGGAAGGAAGGAAGGAGAGAAGGAAGGGAAGGAGGGAGGGAGGAAGGAAGGTAGGAAGGAAGAAAGAAAGAAAGAGAAAGAGAGGAAGGAAGGAAGAGAGAAAAAGGAAGGAAGGAAAAGAAAGGAAAGAAAGAAAAAGGAAGGAAGGAAGGAAGAAAGAGAGAAAGAAAAGAAAGAAAGAAAAAGGAAGGAAGGAAGAAAGAAAGAGAGAAAGAAAAGAAAGAAAGAGAAAAAAGAAAGAAAGCAAAGAAAAAAAGAAAGAAAGAGAAAGAAAGAAAGAAAGAAAAGAAAGAGAAAGAAAGAAAGGAAAGAAAGAGAAAGAAAGAAAAGAAAGAAAAAGAAAGAAAGAAGAAAGAAAGAAAGAAAGAAAGAAAGAAAGAAAGAAAGAAAGAAAGAAAGAAAGAAAGAAAGAAAGAAAAAGAAAAGAAAGAAAAAGAGGAAGAAAAGAAAGAATAAACGAACAAGGAAGGAAGGAAGAAAGGAAATAGGCTCCTTGGGTGTGGTTCATTGGGTGCAGCTCCTTGGACGCACCTCCTCTTGAACTAGAGACCTGTGAGCTGAAAAACTGTTTCTCCCCTGCTGCCAACATTCAGTGATGAAAACAGGGGCAGTATGACCACTATAGATGCTTCCATTCAAATGGGGGAAAAGGAAGCAGCAGTCACTTGTTTATATCAATTCTGAAATCCAGTCAAGCACATCTTGCTAGTTCCCCCTAATCCCAGGGCAGGAAATGTTCCTTGGTACGTGATTTATATGTATCACACAACTCTAGTTTGCATCCAACCCCACGGGCTTCTCCGTGTCTTCCTCCATTCTGCGCTGGTGTCTCACTTGCTCAATCCTCAGGTACAACAATAAAAGTTAACAGAATTTCAACACTCAGACCACTGTGAAAAACAAACTAAATTGGTTTCTAAATGTCTGTGGAGTTTGTTTTTGTTTGTTATAGATTTTATATACCATTGCAGCGGTTATTTAAAATACCATTGCGAAGGGCATTTAATAGCATTGCAGAGGATTTTGCCTTTGTGTTTATAAATGAGATTAGTCTATGGTTTTTACATGCTGTCATGGTCAGATTTACCGTTATCCTAGCTCAGTAAAAATAACTTGTAAAATTTTCTACCTTTTAATATGTACTGGAATAATTTATAGTGTTTTAAAGTAACCAAAAGTATGTGACCCAGAATTCATTGGGGAGATGGTGTTGACCACATTATATGCTTTTTTTATGGTTGTTAGACTATGCAGATATTCTGTTGATTTTTGAGACAGTTCTGCTTTTATGTTTTTCTAAGAAATCATCCATTTTGTTTGTGGTTAAAAGTAATATAGGTGGTCTTATTTCTGTCATATTTTGTTATTTCTCTTTTTAATGTTTTCATGTCGTTTTTGTGTATTTTTGTGCTTCTGCCTTCTATTTTGGGAGGTAACAGTTTTTAGTTCTGTTAGAAGTTTTCCCAATGCATTTTAACTTATTTTTTTAATGTCAAAGTCAAAAATAAAATATCTGCAATGTGCCACATACTTAAGGCAACGTGGTTATCACGTGTATACCTCTCAGCTCCCTGTTCAGGTCTTTTCACTCTCTGGAAACATACACATGCATTATTTTCAAATTTTTTGGCTTTTACTCTATAAATTATGTTTATTCTATTCAATTGTATCATTTCATCATTTGGTAGTTTCACATTATGTAAATTATTTGTCATGTCCTATATCACATAAAGTCATTCAAAAGCAAAAATTAAAAATTTGTGTTACAAGGCCAGGCACGGTGGCTCATGCCTGTAATCCCAGCACTTTGGGAGGCCGAGGTGGGTGGATCACCTGAGGTCAGGAGTTCAAGACCAGCCTGACCAACATGGAGAAATCCCCATCTCTATTCTTCTAAAAAAAAAAAAAATTGTGTTACATGATAGCCTGTGTTTATGAGAACAATATTAACGTCTTTCTGTTTTCCCTGTTTAAGATTCTCTGCTGGTCTTTTTTTGCCACGACTTCTCCATACTTCCTTTTTGCTCCACCTTTCAGTCGAGTGAAGTATGTCTTTAAATAATTTGAAAAGAATTACATGGATGGGATGTTTTCTGACTCTTAGCATATCTTAGAATGTGTTCTATTGTTTTCATAAACTAATAACATCATATATATCTTATCACAACTCCTCACCTTCAAAACTGATTTAACCTTTCTTCAACTGTCTTTGGGGATTTTATTCTACAACTCTGAAATCTGAGTCGAGCCAGAATTCTGCCTCTTTATTAGTGTGTGGAAACCAGTGATATTTCCACTATTATCTCAATAGTTGTATATTTAATTATTTTTGCCAGGATAGGTTTCAATATGGTGCTTTTCTCATTCACCTTGGCTGGCACACTGAGCCCTTTTGATATACATGCCTGCTTCTTTTTCCAGCCCTATTAAATCTTACTGATCCATTTGTTCTGGGCTCACTTCCAAGAACATCTATTATCTACAGGCTATCTGTTCTCCATTCTCCCTATTTATCATTTATTTAAAAATGTTTCGGGAAGCACTTCTCCTCTTAGGCCATTTGTATGAGACTGATATTAATACAATTGCAATTTGATAGTATTTTAAACCTAATTTTTTTAGCATGTTAATAATGCCAATTTCTATTTTTTAACAAAAGTTCAAAGGATATAAACTTTTCTTAACATAATACTTTTCTCAAGACAAGAATGGAAAATCATTACAACTTACCAAATTGTCCTGATCTGTGTTTCTGGCTTTTCTTTCTTATTTAATTTCCATGAAGGAGTGAGACCATTGAAGCCGCAGGTCCTGCCCCATCAGGAGGCAGAACCTGATCAGCAGGCCCTCTTCAGCCTCCCAGTGAGGAACTGGGAGATGAGTGTGTTGGATTTTCCATTTAGGTACCTAGTATCACAGACTCACAAACGGAAAATGTGTAGAGATTTCTTTTGTTTTTACGTTAGTGTGAACTGTGAAATAGATCGACCTCACCTATGATCCTGGAAAGGGTGGAAGTAGTTTGAGCACTGGCTCAAGAAAAGCATAAAATAAAGTAGAATTCCCTTCATTGTATGGTAAGACAACAAATATGGCCACAAAGATGGCT